AGGCAAGGGTCTGGTCCAAATATGATTATTTTTTCAAAAATTTTCGATTTCTGGTATTTCATCCTGTCTTGTAGCCTAACTTTTAATCTACTTGGGGCTGGGCAGATATCTTGCAAAATTTCACTCAAAAGTGGATTGAAATCAGTTTATAAGTTAGTACTCAGGCTGAAATATATTTGTTTTATGATAAATGTAGCCCAAAATTTCAATGTTTTCATTTCACGACATCTTCGGCCATGTTGATCATAGCAGAGTCACCAAGGTATCATCAGAAAGCTTGTTTTCTTGCAAATTGAACTGAATGGCAATCCAACACATTGGCCTTTGTTATTTTCTGTATTTAACTGATGATTATTGGCTAGTCAAACAATTGAGTTTGGTTGTCACGAGAAACCGTTTTCATTCGCGAGATTTCATTGGCTGATATGAATAGTGGCCATCTGTGATTGGACAATCAAGTCAGCTGATGGCCTCGCATGCTCGCATCAGCGTAAACAGTTATCAGATTCTTCGATTCGACTAAACTTTGCAAAAAATACTCGTGCTTCTGTTACATTTCCAAGATGGGTAGAGTAAAATTTAGAACACGAAACAAATTCCGAGGCCGTCATAAAAAAGTGACGAGAAGCAGTGAGAAAGAAAAGCAGCCAGAGACGTTTGAAGTACGAAGTTGCAAAGTTCTAGTGCAAGAAAAATGGAGTTGCTAGACATTAGCGTTGAAAATGAAAAAAAACAACCTAAGGGAACTGTCGAATCAAGCGACTGTTTCATGATCTGTCAGAAAGAAGCGCTCAACAAACTTCTTTGTGCTGTTGCATGCTCCAAGTGTTTTGTTGCTGGACAGGTATCCTTGGAAGTTGTTGAGGGAAGTTCGTTGGGCCTATCAGTGCGAGCGATGTTGGTTTGCCAGTCCTGTCAAGAAACATTAATGGAAGACTATTTATGCCAGCGTGTTGGTGGATCAAGACAATCTGAAACTCCTTTCGAAGTCAATCTTTGAGGGGTTATGGCATTTAGATCGATAGGCTGTGGACATTCTGCATTGCGAGATTGGTGTGGATTAATGAATATGCCTTGCTCCATGTCTAAAGACAGCTATCAAGGTAGTCAAAATAAATTACACGAAGGTAGCAAGGTCACCTGTGAAGCTATCATGAAAAAGTCTGCCAAAGCAATCTTCCAAACTTATGGAGAGATGGGCGTGAAACCTGATATGCATGGAGTTTTGAACATTGGTGTTTCTTTTGATGGGACATGGCAGAAAAGGGGTCATTCTTCCCATAATGGTGCAGGTGCTGTGATAGACCTTTTAACAGGTCTGCCCATTGACTCTGAAACACTTAGTAACTTCTGTTACAAATGTACTGTCGGACCAAATAAAACAGATGCCAATTATGCTGAGTGGTTCGAAAAGCACAAGGAAAACTGTCAGAAGAATTATGATGGCTCTGCCAATTCGATGGAGATGGAATGTGCCAAAAGGATTTGGGGAAGGTCCATTAACAAATATTCCCTACGCTACATGACAATGCTGTCAGATGGAGATAGCAAAGCTCATAAAGAACTTGTTCGTAGCAAAGTATATGGAGATGAATATATTGTTGAAAAAGAAGAGTGTGTGAATCATGTTGCCAAACGAATGGGAACAGCTTTAAACAATATAGTGGCAGAGGCAAAGTCACAAGGGTCATCTGTATCAGGAAAAGGAAAGCTCACAAAGGAAAAAATTTTGAAGATTCAAAATTATTATGGAAAAGCAGTTAAAGATAATGCTGGCAATATAGAGTTAATGAAAAAAAGGATTTTTGCAATATTGTTCCACTTGACATCTGATGATGATAATCCAAGACATATACATTGTCCCACTGGGGTAGACTCATGGTGTTTCTGGAATAGAGCAGAGGCCAAAGGAGAGGCACCTGAGAAACACAAGGAGCATACGACTTTGCCAGTTGAAATTGGTAAGCGCCTTGTACCAATATTCAACCGCCTTACTGACAACAATCTCTTAAAAAGATGCCAAAATAAAACGCAAAATCCAAATGAGTGCCTCCACAGCATAATTTGGAAAATTTGCCCCAAATCCACTTTTAGTGGTAAGAAAATGGTTGAGATTGGTGTCAACATGGCAATGTCTCAGTTTGCAATGGGGTCTACATCTCAAGAGACATTATGTCGCACACTTGGCCTGTTACCGGGTACACATTTTATGAAAAATGCAAACAAAAGAGACAAGGAAAGATTGATGAAGGCTGCAGTGGCAAAAACAGATGAGGAAAAACAGAAGAGAAAGAGGAAGAAATATTCGAAAACCAAAAATGAGCAAGAGAAGAGAAAAAGGGAAGGTGAAACTTACAAGGCCGGTAGTTTCGAGTAGGATGCTTATCCATCATATAACTTTTAGAAAAACACCAAAAATAAATTTTAACAGATAAGATTCAGTTTAAATAACTTTTTGTTGCCTGTATTGTTGCAGAAAATAATTTAGCCCTTCTTTTTAAATGTTTTCTGTTTGAATAAATGCATTCTCTATGAGCAAAAACTTTGAACGGCTTTTTCTCATTTCCTAATATCGGCCCAAATTCAAATTTTAGTGAAAGTAATATTTTGTAACTATCAGTGGTATCCCATATGTCTATATATCATCTGAATCAGCAAGAACTAGTGAGTGCAACTTTGTATTTATAATTCAAGTATCTTGCTTCTATCAAGACATTTAAATGATTGAAGGTAGTTAACACTTACGAAATAGATGTAATTTGCAAATATATCATAACTGAGAGAAATAAGAAACTGTTTATGGGAATCTGATACCAAAGTTGCATTTACTGATCATTAAGGATTAAGAAAATTAACCTAGCCTTGGTGTGCTTGTCTTGGGCTTAGATATTTCCTTACACTAAAAAGACCACCAAAAATCAGTTGTGTCCTGGTCACCATGGAAACAGCTATTTATAGAAAAAAATTAACTTCACCATTGAAATCAGAAGGTTTGATTTGATTATATGCCTGAAAATTATTCTCCCAGCATGCAAAACAGAATTTTTAGAATCTGGACCAGACCCTTGCCTTCAAGCTTGTCTCCAGTCGAGCTCTGCAACAGCAAAACCTAGAAAAATCTCCACCATTCTATGATTTTCAAACGTTCAAAATTTACTGTTACATTTTGGGTATTGTCAGTGGTTTTTTTCATGCAACCAATAGAGTTGTCTTTCCTATGTTTAGATGTCTCGCGGGCTTGCGACCTGCAGTTCAAATCTCCCTTTGTCCCCTGCTGCTTTTCTGTGTCGTGTTGCAATGGAAATATTTTAAACTCCTCCATAGCTTCATAATGCTGCTGCGCAGCATTCAAATTTCCAGCTTTTTATTCGCCGAAACTTGGCAACTATGGTATGGAGTCGAAAAATGGTTCGAGAAAGCAAATGTTTGGGTTATCGGGGGTTTGAGCTATCGCGGATGTTTATGTATGAAAGTATTGCGCAAGGTTCAAGGAGAATGAAACATCAGTATTGCGGGATGGCAACATGAAAGTATTGCACAAGTTCAGAGCGTTGGAAGATCGAGCTTACATAACATAATTTTTCACTTTATCTTCAACAAAATTCATTTTCAACAGTTTCTCAAAACCTACCAATACACTCCTACAAGATGGAGAAATTATATTATAAATCAAATATTTTCAAAGAAGTTCTGATAAAGGAAATCGATTTTTTCACGCTTAAATTTGCTTTGTATTTTTATAAAGAGACAAGTTGGCGTGCCTACTCGAACCTTGGATAAAACATTTTTCCCACATAAACTCGCTTTTAAGGGCCTACGCCACCTGGGGAGCCGGGGTGGTCATGGCCCCCCACTTTCCTGAGAAGCAAGTAGTTTTAAAGCTGCAGTAAAAGGGGAAAGAAGCCTTGGCCTCCTACTTTTGAGAGCCTTGGCCCCCCCCCCACTTTCAAATTCGTGGCGTGGGCCCTGCTTTTTCCTCTTACCTGGAAACATGCTTACTTCGATCTCGGCAAACAGGGTGAGTTTATACACTATGAACACGAACAATCGTACCATTGATATGATAGGAACATCCGCGATGAAATTTCTCCAAATGGATCGGCCCTAAATGAAAGGGAAATGCTTTCCCGCAGCTTCAAACATGCCTCCAAAAGGCTGTAGCCCTTTTCATCGAAAATGAAAGGAAACAAATTGGAAATATTTTAATGCAGTATTTTGTATTGTGGTCCTATATCTAGCTGCGAGACACCTTTGTTGTCGAAATAATGAATTTTGATTGGTCGATAGGGTATTGAGGATTAAAACTTGGATTTGGAACTTAAGCTATTATTGCTGTTTTGAGAACTAGAGGGATTTTTAATGTGTGGCGTGTACCTAGTGTACCATCTTCTGGTTCAGAGATGTTTAGGTGGCAAGAGAATGCTAAATGAAACACACGTGTTCGTATCCAGTCATTTACATTCTATTCTGTGCATCTTGCAGCAATTTTTTCCCTTACCTTACAATTGACGTGTTATATACCGCAAAATTTCTACCAACCAGAGTACGGAATTATAGGATACAATATTTGCGTCAAGGCTTTATTGATGAACATTAAGATGCATACACGAATTAGCAAATGTTTCTAAAGCTGTTTATCTGGAACTATGAATACTTGAGTCAGTCCAGTATACGTTAACTACTTACAAAGTTCTCTATGAGTTAGTTAGAAGAAGAAAAATGACTAATTATCGCGTAAAGTTTGGACCTAATACAAACCGCTCACCACAACACCAGCTAGATACACTTAACAGAGAAAACGAAATTCCTAGCGAAGAAGCATTGAAATCTGAAGTTTAAAGGTTCACACAAAATTCTGTAAAACTATTATAAATATGGAACAAAGATAAATATGGAACACAATTAATTAATACAAACCAAATTTATAATAACATACTACTCAAAGGACCTTTGAAAAACTTAGTCAATTGTAAGGACCCTTGAAAGACTCAATAGAACAAGTAAAAAACCAATCGTCAATTGACAACAAAAGTAACTCCAAACTATAAACATATAATCTTTCCAAGAAGGAGTTTTGATGAGAGACCATACTGAAAAAGACCTGTGACACGTAAGCCGAATTTTGGCGTATTTCTTCGGCAATTTACGCCGTAATTGCATTGGCATGACGTCAAGTTTTTCAAGTGCTAGATTTTCAATTAAAAAAATGTCCCTGCTTGCGCATCGTTATAATTCCAGAGTTATCTAAAGCTTCGAATCCACTGCGTGTTTCAGTGCGTTTACGTTGAGCCCTGAGTGAACCTGATGCATGCATTCATCTTTCAGGATTTATCATTTGAACCTTTTTAAACTTTACCATTTTCAATTGAAAACCGTGAAAAATCACGCCGTTCTGGCCCGCTCTACACTGAAACGTTTCTGTATTGTTAGGCACCAAATGAAAACTTAACCCATCCCCTGGCAGTCAAAGATAAATTGCCATGTTTCCTCTCTACCAGCTCGCTCGCCATGCTACATAGGTTGGCTTTCTTCGTGAACCGATTGTGGGTTACCTATACTTACCGTTTCTGATAGTGGCTGAACCGAGTTCACCAAACGAATCTTTCTAAGCTGTCTGAGAAGCGCCTTCCTCATATCTTGCATCCCGATGCCATATATAAACGGGTCCAGAAGCGTGTTGGTCATCCACAGATTAACAGAAATCTTGTTGAGCACAGGATAGTTCTTCTCCTTTCTCATTTGGTCGACAATCACTAAGCAGGAAGCTGGTATGGAACAAATTGCGTACGACAACACCACCATACCAGCAACGACTGCCACCTTCATTTGCCTTTTTCGTGAAGCCCTATGATCTACTTGCACAAAAGCGCTTTCTGTTTGCTCCGAAGCCTTTATCTTTGCCCGACTCACCAGAAATAAACGTGCTTGGACAACTAGTAACAGCAAAGAAGTGGGAAGTGCCACTGCCGTGGCCAAAATTTTCAAGTTCGTAGCGTCACTGAGAACTGCTTTTTTTGAATCTGACGTTCCGCTAGTAACTGAAATGAAGATTCCACAAGAAATGCCGATGAACCAATTACCAGACAAAATGCCGATGACTCTTTGTTCTGTAAATATGGCGTGAAGACGAAGCCCGTGGATACATGCAACATAACGCTCAACAGACAGCGCAATAAGGGTAAGGCTCGATACCACCATAGTTGTGGATCCGTTGAATTGAACAATTTTTCGCAGAACCATACATGTCCCACTGTTTGCTGTGAGGGCGAAAATGTTCATTATTGATGTGCAAATAGAAGTGACTGCAATCATTAACCCATGGGATATTGAAAGACAGAACAGGATTTTGTGCCTTGGCAAACAAAGCTGGGCATCCTTTGCCAGGGTGAATAATATCATTACGTGAAAAGGTATCGCAAGGAACACCAACACCAAGGCTAAATTGATTCCAGTTTGATTTTCCTTGCATGAGTATACCGTGATGTTGTTGACAGCCATGGAAAACACATATATGTTATAGCCAAATTGTACGTCTTCAGTGTGTCACACAAGCACCAGCCTGTTCTTGAATAACTATTCTCAATTAGGAAACTTCTCTTTTACCATATTCTCATTTTATTTAAATTTTTCATAAATAATTCATTAAGAAGCCAACTGCTTGTTGCTTTGTCAAGATGATACTTGCTTGTGTAGCTTTGTGGAGATAAGATTCACTGTTTTTCCACTGTATTCAACTGTCTGAATGAACTTCCAAGGACCGTGCACCAGTCTAAATGTGGAAGGGCTGAAAAGGGCGTGACCGACATTTCTTTGGCCACGCCCTCTAGAACGCCGGAAAACGCCCCTTTTAGAAAATACTGGCTTATTTCTACTGGGGTTTTATAAACAATCTGGTTCAGAGATGATATAAATAGCTATGAAAATAGATAAAATTAGCTTGGTGGTAATAAAACATCAAGAAAAACACCTATAAAATGAACAAAAATAGTTCCCAGTCAAGAAAAACTGCTACTTCTTACGAGTATACTATTCAATGTTTAGTAGACCATAGTTAGAGTAAACTTTCAAGAGCGTTTTCTAACGTATTATTGCAAAAAAGTGGAGTGGCTATAGCCCCTGCTAGCCCAATGGCTGCGCCGTGCCTGACTTCTGTACGTCATCCAGGGCTTATTGGCCTTATACCTGCCCTAGAGCCTAGGGGTTTAGGAGCGTTAAAAAAATAAGCAATTTTATTTTTTAAGAAAGCAATGAATAAAACATTGCAAACGTATGCCTAAAAAAGTACAACGTTTTAGACGATTGCAAGAAAATGTCCCGTTCAGATCGTCGAAACTCCCTGCAGAACAGGATGTGGTGGCATCATCAGCATACATGACTATCTCACAGATCTCTAGACAGAGTCGAAGTTTTTTTATATAAAGAATAAAATGAAAAGCCCAAGACAAAACCCCTGTGGAACACCATTAAACTTACATAACTGTTCCTAACTGTTCCGACATCAGACATGACGCAAACAAGGCATGCTAGATATCAAGAACTACAAATTTCTACATCTTTTTAAGCAAGATATCATGATCTCCAGTACCAGACAGTTTAGGTCGACAAATATCAATGCAGTGTATTTTCCACTATTCATATTTGTAAACCAATCATCAGTGCAGGTACCCTGGGTACCAGACTCACTATGTATGAAATAAAATTTTATTTCGCAGGACAGGCGATAAATAAAATGCAGGACAGGCGACTTTTAGCAACAGTGTAACACAGGCGTCTAAAAGCAAGTCGCTCAGAAAACAGTTGTTGCCTTTGTCTATGCCTGTGTTAAAGATAAATTTTTCAAACATTTTCCAAAGAACAGGGAGAACTGATATAGGCTGGGACGTTGGAGAAGGGGGGCGCAGGGGGTAAATCGCCTCTGTTGCCTTTTGATAGGAGGGGCAAGGGGAGGCCTAAGTGCCCTTTTCATAGAAGTGCCCTTTACATCGGCCGTTTGTAATTATCAAAAAGTTCATATGAAGATCTGATTGTACTGCCTTATTTATAATGACATTTCTCAGAACTTGTAAAGATCTTAAAATATCTTCGGGATGAAGGTGGAATGATCACAAGTGTTAGAACACAGGGTTCCCATTCATTGCAGGACATCACATGACAATTGCATCATTGCGCTGCAATTGCATCAGCTTCTGTAAATTGTATTATTCTTAGGGTATACAAGGAGTGGCTTTATACTTAGGTTCAGTCTTGCCGTAAGATTGACGAACTCCGTGTACCTTGTCGCTAGCTTGCAGAATTGTGTTTGCCGTTACATTGTCGCCGTTAGCCGTTTAAGATATTTTTAGTCGTTTGCCGTGAACTGATGAATTAGAAGAAGTGTATAGAGAATTGGATAACAGTTTTTGCCGTATTTATCGTGTACGTTTCTGCGAACGACCTACGAACTCACATTTGTAAAACCCCCTTTTTAAGTGGTTTTACACAAGTTTGAATACTTCTTAAATAGGGGCAACCCTTGCAATTTTCCAACCTTCTGGGTAACACCTGTAACAATTAATAGCGTAAAGATATCGTAATGTAAGGCAGCAATAATTTGAAAACCGATGTTAAAAAATGATTTGCTGTGCACTTCTCCCGACCAGGGTGCCAATGCACCGGGTATGAGAAGGAAAGAGAACCATCAATCACATAAAGAGCCATAAATCAAGTTTATTCGTATTAAAAACATTAACAGGCACCGCGGAGCGTTGAGAAAAGTGGGGGGTCTAAAATAAGTGGGGGGGGGCTAAAACCGTATAAAAAGAGGCTTTTCTGGTAGTTTGATACTTGATATTTGGAATTTTTTGCAAAATGTGGGGGAGCCCCCCTAGCCCCCCCTGCTCCGGGGTGCCTGATAAAGAACAGTGAAAAGAATCCTATGATGTAAGGAAACTATAACTCCTAAAAAGTCCATAATCAAGAATTTGAAGAAGCACACTATGCTTTATAGCAAGGGGAATGGAGGAACGGGAGGAGAGAACAGCGTGGAAAGAGCATTCCATACAGGCCCTACCAAAAGCAGTGGCGGAAACTATGGGGGCAGGGGAGGGCTAAGGCAATCAGCAATCAGCGTTCTTGTCGGAAAATTTGGGCTTTCGTCGGAATAATGTCAAACTTCACATGCCGAAATCCCATCCAAGACAGACCTATTTTTAAGGTCAGTGATGACCAATTTGAGTGGTAAAAGCGCGGTTTTGTGAAGTGATAAACAGTAAAAGTGTGCAGTGTTAAAAACTGTAATTTTTATTCAAAGGAAGCAAATTTTCCGTTTTTTTTCATAAACGTTGGTATCCTAAACATACCCAAGGTCACAAAGAGAGGGGACAGGGGTGATGAAATTTCCTAGGGCCTCAAAGTGTAAGGAATGTCATAAAGTAAAGAAATCGATTAAAAGAATTGAATTAATCAAACGTAACAGAAGTATGGCCGAAAATACGAAACTATTTTAAAAGAAAGATCCGGAAAGAATCGCTTTCAATAATTTTCTGACCGCTTCGCTCGCAGGGGATCTGCGTTTCCCGTTTTACCCCAGGGGCCTCTATAACCTTTCTGTGCCCTTGAACATACTTAATGCAATATTAGCGAGTACTAAATAATCAAACATAACACTATTGTTATACAACTAGTTTTGTCTGTCGTGTATCATGTTTGTGGTTCGTTATTGTTAATGAGAATGTCTTTCGATGTTTGCGTCAGTCATTTTGTTTGTCATCGTGCCATCTCTATTTTAGTTGTTATTTGTAGTCCATTTGCCGTTAATTTGTGTCATTAGGGTTTTGTGTGCGTCACTCATGTTGTTAAAAGCGTATGTTCTTTGAGTGCAAGTCCAGTCGAGTCGAAGTTGTCGTTGAAAGAAGTCGTTATGTTGTAATCGTTGGTTGTTGCTAATTTATACTTTCATTATTGAAGAATCTTGATTTAAAAAGCATTATTGCGAACTGGAGACTGGTTTTCGATCTTTATCTGCCCTGCAAAACTTAGTAGTTTTACATTGGTGACCACGACGTGACGAATTCGCAGAAAAAAATGGAAATGATTTCAACAGAACAATTCAGAGAAGTTCTGTTGGATATTATAAAGACCGTTGTATCTCACATGGCCGAAAGGGTGAGGTTGGCAGAGGAGAATGGGAGAAATTTCTTCGTGAATCGAACTAATGTCTATCGTGCTGAAGATGGCCAGCCCATTTGCTATTGTTGTTTGCGCGTTGGTCACGTTGCCAAATATTGTAGGGACAGGAAATTTTCTTTAGCATCCCAGGAGAAGTGTGATCAAAATGAACCTGTGATTGTTGCCTCGGTAGCTGAAGAGCGACCTCGGGTTACCTTTATTGGCAACATCAAAAGAAATGAGCCACACTTTCAAGATCTTCAAACTCGAGTTAAGAAATTGGAGGAGATTGTCAATGAATTGGAGTCACATAAACTATCACGACCAATGGTGACGCGACTGCCTTCTTCAAAACCAATGGAAGTTGACGAGGGTTTATTAGCCACAACATATGAAAAAAATTTGATGGACACTAAAAGAAGAGAAGGACCTTTACGTGTACATAATGTTGTTATAGCCTCGGGTAGAGAACCGTATGGACGGAATAAACTTGGACAGGGACATTATTTCTTAGATGGTACTTGATTTACTCATTTCAGTAAAATTATTTGATTGATTCTTCGTGCTTCCTTATAATACTTTTATGTTTCTTCCCCTTCGAGAGATCAAGCCAGGAGGCTTGTCTTTCAAAGGGGGGAGTAATGTTATACAACTAGTTTTGTCTGTCGTGTATCATGTTTGTGGTTCGTTATTGTTAATGAGAATGTCTTTCGATGTTTGCGTCAGTCATTTTGTTTGTCATCGTGCCATCTCTATTTTAGTTGTTATTTGTCCATTTTTATTAGTCCATTTGCCGTTAATTTGTGTCATTAGGGTTTTGTGTGCGTCACTCATGTTGTTAAAAGCGTATGTTCTTTGAGTGCAAGTCCAGTCGAGTCGAAGTTGTCGTTGAAAGAAGTCGTTATGTTGTAATCGTTGGTTGCTGCTAATTTATACTTTCATTATTGAAGAATCTTGATTTAAAAAGCATTATTGCGAACTGGAGACTGGTTTTCGATCTTTATCTGCCCTGTAAAACTTAGTAGTTTTACACTATATATTCAATTCCGTAAAGATTAGCCAACCTTGCCATCATATCCAAATAAAAGTTATTTTCAAACATATTTCTCACTGAAGATAACAATGAAACTGAGCAGAAAAATGAAAAAAGAAAGAAAAGGTGAAAAAAGAAAAATGAGCTAGTTCCAATTAGTTACAATTATGTTGTCAATAGTGAAATCGGTCGACCTCTTGTATCACTAATTGCCTTAGATGAGAGTTAAATCGTGGTATCAGAAATCAAAAATTTGCAAAAGTCCTATTTTGCTTCTTTCGCAAAGTTGATTCCAAAAATTTCCCAATTTGAGAAGCTTTCTTCCTGCGCAACTTTCTTCCCTTAAAGTGACATGACCCTAGGGAACGTTCGATCATGTGTGGAAGGTCATTATTAGCTAGAAATGTAACAATGGCGACTCCAGACAACTACCTAAAAACAACAGCTCCTTGATCTCTACATACATTTTAAAATTATTTCTTTAGGAAGTACGACAGATTTGTTTTTGTGCAAAGTTTGAAATATAATTTCTGTATAATGGTTGTTGGTCATAGCGGGACCCTTTGGCCTGCGCGCAGACTTCATTTTGATGCTTAGTTGTGAAGCCAGCACGCATGTTGAGGGCCTTGGCTGTGACTGTAGTGTCTCAGCTTATGAAAATTATCTTCTCCACTCCAACTTTTGCAGAAAGGGCCTGTAATTTTCTTTACTTCATATGTCTGAGGGCCCGGTGGGGATCGCCACTTTGCCACCCGGGCCAGACCGCGCCTGGCCTTTAGCACGAGAGAGTTTGAACGATCATCGATTTTTCTCGCTAGGTTTTCACCAACAACCGATAATATCTATTTGTAAATGGCAAAATTCTCTGTCTTTCTTCTAAAAATTTGCCAGTTTCCAAGAGGTTGCCGAAAAAACTTCCATTTTCGAAGATTTAAGGTTAGGGTTGTCTGGAGGGCTGTCACACCCCCCCCACACGCTCCCCCGTAGCAACGGCCCTGCCTGAACCAGGCCAGAAAAGTGCCGGACCAGAAAAACATATTGATTTTCTTCAGGGGCCAGTTGGTTTTCAACTTTTACATACCTTGTGTAGGCTGCTGAAAATGAAACTCCGATCTCATTTTTACCAGGCTAAGTTAGTGATAAGATAGACAGGCCTTTTATTTTCACAAAGGTTTGTAACTTTATGTTTCTTGTACCAGGCTGAGTCAGAAGATCGTTTTATGCTATTTTTAGGCTAGAAAGTTAATCTTCGTTAGTTTCTTGTTGGGTCGATTTGAAGCGCCAGAAGTCAGGTCGAGGGACTGCACAGCGTTTTTTAAAGAAAGGCCAAAATCTTGTTTGTGGATGTATTTAGTCAAGGCCTGTCTATCTTGGCGGCAAGTCAATGGTTGGCGGCAAGAAAAATTTTAGGTTATATTAATCTAGGAATGGCCAGAAACAACACCTCAAAAAGATTTTAACGGGAGAAAATTCAGGGCAATATCCTTAAGGTTTTCATAACTAGGTTCTATAGTTTTATCTGTTGATATGAAATAGGAAACGCTATGAAACGATAAAATGATTAAATAAAGCATTTCCTATTTCGGTACTCCCTTTTGGACTAATAACTGTCCATGGAACGCATTTAAAATTTACTACAGAGAAAAAAATATCAGAGGGGACAAAAGAAAACCAAAAATAAATCGAATTCCAAATTTTTAAATATTGGCAAAAAATATTTTCGAGGTAACAAGCATTCGGCGGGCCGGATGAAATTTTGCTGCGGGCCGGGGTAGGTCAGCGGGCCGGAGTTTAAGAATAGCTGTTCTAGGGGATGTGATGCCGTGAATGATGTAGGGGGATGTCATGACGAGAGGAACAGCACCGGGGGGGCCGGGCTGGCCATGGTCCCCCACTTTTTTGCGAAGCAAGTAGTTTTAAAGCTGCAGTAATAAGGGAAAGAAGTCTTGGCCCCCTACTTTTGCTAGCCTTGCCCTCCACTTTCAAATTTGTGGCGTGGGCCCTGGTGCCAACGACAGTTCTGTGACAAGACAGTGAATCGGAGGCGGACTGTGGAGTTGTAAATTTAAATATGGACGATCTGGGGACAAACAATTTAGAAATGCACCAGCTGCATGCATATGCCTGTGTGTTCAAAACCAAGTAGTGTCCTTGGTTACCTATCATTTTGGCATGACCAACGAGCAGTTTTCTTTTATCACCAAGGGCATATCAATGAGGAGCCCCACCCCTAAAAAATTATGAAAATCTTTTGTACCAGTCTAAAAATAGCACAAAGGTAAAGTTTTCATTTTGCATCCATATCCTATCGGCTATCTTGAAAACATGGAATGTTGGAATGTTGGAATGTTGGAATATTGGAATGTTGGAATATCGAACCGATGTCTTCTTTATGCTAGAATTGTTTTTGAAGCAGGTAAGATCCAGGGGCGCCGGAAGTACGGGGGCAGCTGCCCTGCTGCCCTGACTATACGGGGGCAGCGGGGGCAGCACTGTGCCCTTGTGAAAATGGCACTGTGTTTATGCGAATGGAATAGTGAGATAAAATATTAGTGCGGTTAGGAACAAAATGAAAGCAATTAAAATATTGGGTGCCTTTGTGTGCAATAATGCAATTTCTTTCGACAACACCCTAAAATGTAGGAAATTACTGTAGAATGAGATGAGTGGCGTAACGGAGGCATCTCGGGTCTTAAGGGAAAACTGAGATGGGGCACCTTTTAATGGACTCTAGTAGAGCATGTCAAAATCTAATGCAATAAGCAACACTTATCCAAGTTAACTAGTAGAAGCTTCAATTGAAGTAATCTAAAAGCTTTTAAAAATGAGGTGAACTTTAGCAAAGTCATCAGAATTTATAAGAAAGAAGTTGCTATACCAATAAAGAAGGTAACAAAGATGGAAACCCTTTGATCAATCATGACTTCAGTTTAATGCCATAAAGAATAAGAATGTCTGCCAGAGCTCACAAGTCATTGCACTTGTACAATTCATTTGCACTTTCATCTGCAACAGCAGAGCGTACTTTTAGCAAAAGCAGCGTGATACGACACGAAAGCCAACAGCTCACGAGGTGAGGGGGGGGGGGGATTAACTAAGCCTAATTTTGAACGGGGACTTCTCATTTTGGTTAAAATATTCGGACCCATAATTCCGTACATGTCTGAAAAATGTGAACCATAATTCCGCAATCATGATGAAAACTATAGGCCTACCCATAATTTCGCAAAGCAAATCACATTTTTAAAGCACAACAAAATCATCAAACAAATTTTTCATGTCCTTTGCCAAAAATCTCAATATTGCACATATTTTATACTTTCATTTCTAACTGGACATTCATTTTGCTAATGCTCAATCAATCTAATGCTCAATCTCAATCATTTTTGCAATATTTTTCGAAAATTGTACCCATTGTTCTGCACATATTTCAAAAACTGATACCGATAATTCCGCATTTTTCAGAAAAAGGTACCCCTAAAACATTGCACGTACTCCTACCTTCAAACATGTTAAGGTACCCCCCTCCCCTTCCCACCCAGCGAAAGCCTAAACAACAGAATGGGGAGTTTTAGACTGGCCTTTTAGATTAAGCGTGTTATCGGTACCAATGTATTATGTTATATCATTTATTGTTATAATTCTAATATTATTCATTGAAAACATGCCCTTTTTGAGTAGCTGCCCCCGTCGCCTCAAAATACTTCCGGTGCCCCTGGTAAGATCCAGTCATTTTCAAGGTACCTGAAGGGTGTGCCACCATAGATGGTGCCACCAAAATCTGGTCAATATCTAACACCCCCTCTCAATCCTTGCCTTTAAAACCCGTCCCTGGAAATTTGTTAAGATAATTCGCCCACTTTTCATAACTCCGTCAATGGTGGTAATACAAAACTAGGATTGTCTTGGGTATTTGAGAGAAATCGTTCGCAATTATGTAATCTAATGGTAGAATTTTGTTCATACCTGTAGTCTGCACATGATGTTACTGAAATCGATCACCGGTTTTGCACCGTTACCAAATTATTGGGGTTAGGTAGGTCTGGAGGGCTTTGAAAGATTATTAACGATTGGAAACATCGCGGTTTTTCAAATGCCTCTAGTTGTTAAGCACAGACCAAGTAGCAGATACAAATTTACTCAGTTATTCAAGTTTTTGAATAAAGCTTTCCCACCAGCATACTTAGCTAAGGCTATTTTTCAAACTTGTTTGTTGTGTCGTTATAAACATCTTGTTTCCCATGGTAGTGTAGCGACGGAGATTTGGAGCTGTGAAGGAGATGACCAGGTTGTCTGTCCAAGCGCATGCTCATGAAAATGGAATCGACCATCGTGTTATTCGTGAGGAAAATGGCAGAAGACTACTAGTACAACAAATCCTGTGTATTTTTGAGTGATTGTCTGCCACGAACCTGGAGAAAATTAACGAACGATACTTCAGTTTAAAAACCATACCCCTACAGGAACTGTAAGCAGCTCAAATGTCACCGAATTTTAGTTGATCGTTAAAATTGACTCCTATTATTGCGAGGTAGGCTCAAAATCAACCGGCCTTAATTCTTGGATTGGAAACAGTGGTTTGGAGTTGTTTCGCACATCCATTCGACGGCATACGTTCAAGGCAGCGAATTATTTAATGCAAAAGTACGGGAGGTTCAGTAAAGCACGATTTCATGAGAATCAAAATGAAAAAGGGAAGCTTAATTAATTCGACTTCATCGTCCGTCATTAGCTCATCCAAGGATGGTGGCAATACAAAATCGACGAAGTCCGGCCCAGATGGGCCTGAGTTTCTACCGCGAATGGTAAACGAGCCCGATGTGAGTCTTGATGAGATGCTCAGTCTTGCCTGTCGACAAGGTAAGCTTGATATTGTTAAGTTGCTGATCCAGAGCGGTGCTAAGATAAATCATAGAAATAAGTCTGGTAATACGCCTCTTCTAGAAGCTTGCAGTCAAGGCCATGTGCCCGTAGCCAGATTTTTGTTAGACAATGGAGCAGAAATTGATGCACCAACAGAGACAACATTAGACAGTCCACTGACATGGGCCTGCACACTTGGGAACACAGAGGTGGTTCATGAATTACTTAGGCACAAGGCTAGTGTGGAACATAGGACAAAGGATGGCTGCACTGCATTAATGTTTGCTTGCCTTGCTGGGCATGTTAAAGTTGCAGAGATGCTTCTTGACAGTGATGCAGTCATAAATGTAGAGTCAGACAGTAACAAAGACAGTCCATTAACATTTGCATGTTGGAAAGGACACAGTGAAGTGGTAGATCTCTTACTTAGCCGTGGTGCCAACATAGAACATCGAACCAAGGAAGGCTTTTCCCCACTCATGTTTGCTGCACTAGGTGGGCACACAGGTGTTGCAACAAAACTTTTAAAATGTAAGGCCCAAGTCAATGTCCCAAGTGGAAGCAATAATGATATTCCTCTAACAAGTGCCTGTTGGAAAGGTCACCACGATGTTGTTGAACTTCTGCTTGCACACAAATCAAACTTAGAGCACAGAACCAAAGATGGATGCACTCCACTCATGTTGGCTGCCAGGTAAATTGATAATTTTGAAATGAAAAGCTTATTCATAAATTCTGTTTCTTTGAATCAGTATAGATGAAGAATTAGCCCCTCACCCAACAGGAATTTAGTCGGGGTGCAAATTTAGTTGTATCACAAGGGCCTCATCTACAACCTGTTCCAACTTCCCCAACCCCTTCTGATTTTATTTCAAGTGCATCAAGTCAGCTACAATCAACATCCTATCCCACACTGGAAACTTTGTTTCTTGAATGAAAAAGTTCATTTTGAAAAAGTGTGACTGTGCATCTGAAACCATGCACAATATATTGTGGGCAAGCAACAAAGTTTCAAGTCTAAGGCCTATCTTAATATAGTATAAAGGAATAACAACAACCTGTTGAGTCATCTTGGTACAGGAAAAGTGGAATAAACATTTTTGGTGCAGTTTATTTATTGGGTTTACATACTTTGTGACAGTTTGTGGCTTTAGCCCAGAGACCCTCCTTATTCTGTTCTTTCAGGCCCCTTTCAGTCAACACAAGTCTAAGGAATGGGTAGTTTCGCTAGCAAGCACACAAATTTTATTCTTGAAAAATTAGATATGAGAAACTTCTCCAATAATTTCAGCTTTGAATGGATTATCCTGAGTAGCTGAAAATTCAACTTAAGAAAAGTTAGCATAAGCATGATTATCATGAATCAGAAAATATCAGTGTTTGAGTTATAAAAACTTCAAAGATTACTGCAGGCAAATGAATTACAGACTTTATTTCTGAGATGTCCAGTTTGCAAATGAATCCAGTTTTGTTGCTGAGGTAGAGTACATTTGGTTTTCAATGGGTCTGCAATGTAGAAATTTTACTCCTTTTTTGTACTGATCATGTACTGAGCTTTGGTTGTCAAATCCAGTTGGTAATTCTTAGAGTAGATGGGCAGCAGCATAAATTTCTACATATACAGAAGTTGAAAAGAATAGGATCAAGGACTGATTCTTGTGGTCTTTCTTTTATACCCATATATTAAGTATATAAAATGAAGCATTTGCACGGAGGAACTTGCCAATTTCAGAGTTTTTGTAAATAAATTCAAATAGTGGAGGCATCAAAATTTAATCAAACAGGGCACATAAAACAGGAAAGGACATAAAATATCATATTATTTTTTCTGCAAAATATTTGAACACATATTCTCATAGACAATTAAATTTCATCACACTCAACTCATACATAATTGATCAAAACTGATATGTACATTGCATGCCTAACATTATATCAAATGAAAATGAAGAAATTAGCACTTTGTTTAAAATTGTTGGACATATATGCTCCTAATCTTATAACCAGGTATTTGCTTGCTTCAGGGCTGTTCAGCAATAAATGATGAATAATTTGAGGTTGCATTTTGGGTTGTATTCAAATACTTGCCTGATTTAATGGCCACCATCCCATACTTTTGTCAGCTTTTGTACTTCAGTTTTGGTTGTATGAAGGGGCGAACTTTGCAGTCAAGTTGAAGTGAACCAAAAGTATGAAAATTATTCCCCTTCCAGTAGTGAGCATTCAATAGTTTTTGCATTATTGCATATCCCCTTAATTTTTAAAGCTATTAGCTTTATATCTATAGAAGCTAGATAGTACCTACATAGAATTAGTTTTCTCCTCTTGTCACCTCTTCATCAAAATCTTTTTGAAAAGCAGTCTCGATACAATAAAATCCATTTATTCAACTAACCTTGATGTAATATACCATGCTGGCAATGTAAAAACTTTTGTCTTTTAAATTTTTTTGTTTCTGCATATGTTTTGTTTCATTAATTGAATGTTTTATTTCTTTTAATAATATTTAATTCCTAAACTTTATTGCAGTCAGATATTAATAGAATGTCTGATCAGATAATGAAGTAAAAAGGTCTCATGAAACATGAAAAAATGTTCATAATATAATCCAAAGGATATCTAAAGAGATAAGAAAACCTTTAGAAAAGTAAAATCAGTTTGATTTTGTTTGAATATCTGGTGAGACAAAAATTTGCAGTCGGACAGTTAGGCATGATTGTCACAACCTGGTTGTGTGACTCATAGACAAAGATGAGTTCTTGTTAATAGAAAGAAAAGGTTTTCAGAATCACAATTTGTGCTTCAGTTATACAGGAAGAAAAAAATATGTCTCAAAGTTAATAAAAAGATTTGGGATGGGGATTTTTTAAAGAAGTGATTTTTTAAGTTTGGTCAACTAAGAAAAAATTTAGGGTGATTCTTTGCTCATAATGAAAAAATTGAGAATTTGAGGTGCTGCATTAGTTTGGGGTTTCTTGAAAAAAAATGTGTAAACCTCTTTTCATTTAGAATTGTTCTTTTCAACTTTTAATAAAAGTTAATATTATACTTCAAGCCAAAGTAAGCTGTGGTTTGGTCGGAGGCCCAATCCGCGTATTTGTAATTTCAATCCAATCCAAAATAACTTCAAATTCAATAAGATTTTAGAATCTGGCTGGAAACTGTATTGCCACCAGATTTTTATTTATAATTATATCCTTTCAATTCCTAATAAAAAGGTCTGAATGTTACAATACCTTTAAGGGTCTTGATTTTCAGTGCAGCATTTTTCCAACACTAGTGATCAGGATAAGTTTTTTTTCAAAGACAAAAGGAAATCGATACTCCTAACAACTTAAACCTAGAAATTGTTTTTTTTGTCTGCCAACTGTTTGACTTGTTTTTGCCAGACATAATCGAAAATGACTCACCAGTTTGTTTTGTTTTTACTCCTATATCTCTACTTTTTGCATGTGGTAATCTTTTCTCAAAGGTAGTCTAAAAAATTAAACAACATAATATAAAACTCCTTCAAACACCATCAAATATTTGTTGGGGTATGTTTAAAAACAAATTTTTGGTCATATAGAATGCTTACTTCATCATACAACCCTGATCAGTGAAAATGCTCAGGATTTTAGCTGCCTTTACATGTTTGAAAATTACAAAAATGTATAGTGTTACAATGCAGGCCAGCCTCTTCACATCTTTTCCAACAAAGATGACAGAATCTTCTGGATCAAACGTTTGGAATAACTGCACAATCATTTGCCTGTTGGCTATGAAAATTGTCCAAGATTTGGCATTTCAATGACCAAAGAAGGCGAAGACAACATGCAGTGAAATGTGTCTCTATAAGAACAAGTTTTATACCTTGTCAAATTTAGTTGTTGAAATTCACTCAATAGGTTGTGGAAGATACGTGTCCTTTGTCCACACCTTGGCTACAGTTTTCTAGATCATCCTTTAATTCTCCCTAGAGTAACATCAGTGATTATGGCAGCTTAAAATGCTCTTGAAGGATACATAGCGTCCATGTGCTACGAAGGATTGATCTTTCGGCCGATTTACAGTGCTATGGCACGGAGCTTTTGTTAAATATCATCAGGCGTTTGAGCGATGTTGTTTGATGACGCATGACAAAGTGTGATATTCCTAAAGCATCACCCAACATTTGTATTACAATGTTTGATCATGTTTGATAGAACTGTTTGTTTGTGCAGTCTGGCCTTAACGTAAAAAGCAAGTAAATATGGTGTCATATAGGAAGTAGATTAGTGATATTTAAGATGTCAGAGACCGAATATAAAGTTGAAACTAAACATATTGGTCAATTTTTTCAACCTCATTTTTGTGAACATGTGCTGCTATCAAAATAACAGCAAGTTATGAGACCTGCCAACTCAAGTTTTGTTGCTTATACTTTCGAAATAGAGTTGCTTCAGAATTTTTCAGATGTTGCTACTCTGTATACTTTACGTGGAATGTCTATGAACTTTTCACATGGCTACCAAACAAGTCTGTGAACTTTTCTTGAACATCATTCGACCAGTTGATGTTGAAATCTATTCTTATAATCATATTTATAGAACTGCATGATTGATAATCTTATGTACTGTTTTATTGTAAACTACCTTTTTCGTGTACACATACACTAATTCTCTTCACTGGGGCAGATGGCGTTAGCTGGTAATTCTCTTTGATTCACTCAAATCCCACAATTTCTATTTGCATGTCATCAAACAACTTTCTGGAATCAGCTAATTAGATTAGCATTGCAAGGTTACCTTTGCACGAATCTGTTCAGAAGTGATGAGATACAGAAATGATTTGATTTCTCGGCTTCATTGGTCGGTATGGTTTGCTGTTGCAGAGGCACTACCCTGCCTTGCAGTGCCTTTTTTACAGTATGAACGAGGGGGGCAGTAGCCTCTTCATTTCGTTATGTAGACAATGGCTGTTGCCTGTTTTTTTATTGCATCTGTAAAACCAAACTGTTTCCTTCTCCTCCTCTTTCCCTCCTCCCCCTTTCCCTCCTCCCCTTTCCCTCCTCCCCCTTTCCCTCCTCCCCTTTCCCTCCTCCCCCTTTCCCTCCTCCCCTTTCTCTCCCCCCATTTCCCTCCTCCCCCTTTCCATCCTCTCCCTTCCCCTTCCCATTTGGAATATACTTGGATCCGAAAACGAGGATCTCAATAGCATAAGTATATATGATATTAGCTTAGGCTGTTTATTGAGTTAATTGATTGAAACTGTCTCCCTAGTGTTAAATGCTGTCACTCAATCTTTGTTCATTATGCATTGGCATTATGCATCCACCAGGCTTAGCTGGCAGTTTCAAGAGCCTAAATTTAAGATTGATGCAGGGGATAGGGGGTATGACACTTGGATCTTCAGTTGGCCCACAAAATCCTCAATTTGGTCGGTAAAACCGCCCATCGTTAGGTGAAATAGCACCTAAATGTATCTTCATGTTTTTCTTCGATGGCAAAGTCAACTATTGATGACCCTCCAACCCTAGTCTAGAAGGTCTAGCTACGCCCCTGAGCATGGTGTTGGTTTTGGAGGATTTTCAAGCCAAAGATTGTCCGAATATGTCCGAAAATGTCAATGCCAAAATTAATGTGGCTTAAGTTATTCATATTATGTGGCTTGTTGACTAATATGTCGAGAAAGTTGGGTTTTTTCGAAAAATGCCTTGCTCTTTGCATTGAAATTTTCAATAAAATTTAAATCCTTGCGTTAATTCGTTCAAAGGAAAGAAATCCATAACTCCATCGGTATAATGAATATTTGTTGTTATTGCAAAACAAATTTGGTTTTTTACCGCTCCAGCTTTTCGAGGTGTAGATCGTACGACAATCGTTCAAAGTTGTATCCCGTTTACCCGTGTATGTTATTTATCACTAGCAATTGCTCCGAAGATAAAGTCGCATATTTCAATAATTCAAATAACATCGCTTCACTTTATTTGCGCCGTAAGGTCTAGGATCTGAGATTGGGAACGCGGGAAATTTGCAGGATAGTTTCGTCCCGCAGAACGTAATTGAATTTAGATGTCTACAATGGTTCAAAGACGCATCAGTAGCCTCCTATGATTAAGTTAAGTTAAGATTTGATTTATTGATTAAGTTAAGCGACTCTTCTCCTTATTACACTTGTTTTTTTTTTAAAAAGTTTTTACAGTACACAATTTGAAAATGGCTTTGGAAATAACAAACATAATAGACCTATTTATAATAAACCTACGCCTAGAAATTTTAATGTTTTTATTTTCAATTGCAATTTCATTGAAACATCAATCCCTACTACACACAAACAATTAACATTCAATAAACAATACAATTAAATAGATAACATACTAAACTTTGCAGCATCAAGTGCAAAACTAGAAGACCAAGCATTGTTGTAAATAATTTTGATTGATTAAGGGCACTCTCCTCCCGCCCTTCTAGCCCCCTTTCCATTTCTGCAACTCCCCTAAAGGCCTATTCGGGTTCTTATACTCTGTGGCTAGTTAAATTGCACGTTTTTTAATAAAATCTTGGATCAGCAATAAGTACTAAAAGTTTCTTAATTTGGCATCCAAATTTTGGCGTTTTGGTAGCGTAAAAGTTTCTTAGTTGGTTTCATATTTTCGGGTCCTAAAATTGCCTTATTGTTTTGCGGTTTATATTCTTATTGTTTTGGAAGAATATAAACGCAGATCGTCACGAAAAAACTTCAAAGTATGAAAACTTTTGGACCCTTTTTTAAAATGTAGTTTGAAAGTTTCTTAATTTATCTTGAGCCTAGTACTAAAGTTTCTTAAATTTTAGGCCATCCTAGCACTAGTTTTTTACAAACCATTTTCTTATGAATAAAAGACGTGTAACCACCCCATGTGCAACTCTACTCAAAAACTCTTCCTTGTTAGTAAAAGGAGGCCTACTTTGCTGAAGATTGAAGTGTGTTGTTTTCTTGTGGCGATTTTTTGCAGTTGAAGTCCTTGTTTGTATATTCGATTCCATATGCCTGGCTTTGAGCGTTCGTAGATTTTCGCTTGCTGTGGGGGGAGGCTGTGTGGGGGCTGTGTTGTTGTTGTCAGGCAGTTTAACCATACATTGCCGAGAATATTTTAGCAGTTTGCTAAAGCTTGTACTGCAAAATGTTTTTGGTTTTGTTTTACTAAACTGATGCTGATTCAATGCTAAAAAAGATTCTTTTCCTCAGGCTGTTTGTTCTGCTTCGTTTTTGAGTGTCGTTTTTTGGTTTGAAGCAAGATAAAATTAGCAGCATCTGCGTACTGTTTTGGTACACTGAAGCCTGCACAATGTTTTTGGTGTGAAAGGATCTCGTTATGATCAGTGAATTTCGATTTTGTTTTTGCGCAACATCTTAAGCATTTTGTCAGGTGAAAAATTCGCCATTCTTTTGTTAAAATGCCGCTTACAATCTAACCTGCTTGAAATGTAAACCTAAAGGCAGCTTTCCGTACGAATCAGTCACCGCAGTTTTAACAAGTTGAATGCTTTGTGTGTTTGTGAAATATCTAGGTAATTTTTGCGCATTGTCGCAGTAGACTCGAAATTGTTTTTGCAAGCAAAATTTGCAATCGTTTTTGCGAAGAAAAGGGTAGCTGCTTTAGAAATTAAAACTTATCAGTAGAAAAGATTTTCGTCAGGAAATTTCTAGAAGGTTGTGGTACACAACTGACCCCAGCTTTCTTCGTGTCCCCTTGCACAGTAAGTCACATGGCCAGCCTGCATCAGCTCTTCATCACTGGGTAAACCCTGTTACCCACTAATGATTTAGTAACCTTATTTTACGTTACTTGTTTTCTCATTTTTTGTCATTGATTCTAAGCTATCTTTTCTTGTTGCCAATTTAGGGAAGGTCACTTGCAAGTTGCTCGTCTGCTACTTCAACATGGCGCACAAGTCAATGTCCCCTCAGGCAGCGAAAACAACATCCCCTTGACACTGGCATGCTGGAAGGGTATTACTTTATAAAATACTTTCTGTTACTCCTTAAGAGTTTTGGAAGACGAGATTACATTTTTTCATTGACTTTTAGTACTAAGTATTCAGATTGGTCACAGAACATCTTTCGCGTGTGTTAGTTGCTGCATTACTAAAGTCGCAGAAAAACCAATCAAAAACTTTGCAGGGCGGAAAAATCTTTTTTGGGAGGAGCTTCCTACCGATAAGTATCACTTACAAAAATTTCGATTCCAAAAACACTATCTTATGACTTGGAGTGAATGAAACTACCTTAAAAAATGACAGTTTTTAATGAGACCGTCTTTGTTGTCCACAATTTCGCCGGTTCTCTCCGCAATTGTGTTACACTCTTTGTATCAGTTGAACATCGTCGAATCTGTGGATCAAGCATATGTGAGCATTTTCCGGGCTATTGTTACACCTCTCAAAAGATATCGCCTGAATACAGAGTTTACAAATCAGCCAATCAAATGCGCCCTTTGCAGTAACTTTACTGTTCTTTTATTATGTGGTTTGCCTTCAAAATCTTTAATCGCAAATTTCCCTTAAATTTTTCCAAAAGGACACACAGCAGTCGTTGAGCTTCTTCTACAGCATGGCTCTGATATCGAACATCGTAACAAAGCAGGGTGTACCCCATTGATGCTTGCCTCAAGGTAAAATACTTATGAATGCTTTGAATCTGTAATTAAAAACGTCCTAGTACCAATTCATACTTCCTCATTCACAAAGCTGAGATACATTTCAAGAAATGGGCTGGGCATGCTCGACAACAATATCCAACTGCCAGAGTTCGCAACTAGGGAGTCTGTAGGTATTTTGTAATGATGTCTAGTGTCTAAAATTAGGCCTAGGCTCTCAAAATATTTTCTGCTGATTTTGTTGAGTTAAAGCTATTATTTGTAGACTGAAAAGTATTGCTAGCTAAAAACTTGAATGCTTTAATTATTTTTTAGGAATTAGGTATTTACTTATTTTTCACTTCAAAATATCCGTTGTTGCGGGCCGACCATACTTGAAATTTGAACAAAATTGTGTGGACCAGCTATATTTTTACACGAGTCTCAAATTGTAATTTTATTTTATTCTCAGAGAGGGTCATTACGATACTACAAAGATACTTCTTGAAAATAACTCACAAGTCAACGTTGCATCAGGTAGCAATGACGACACTCCTCTCACGCTGGCATGTTGGAAAGGTAGGCCTGTTTAATTTGTTAAAATTGTCTGTTATATCAACATCGAATACTTTGATTGACATTTATATCACGTGTTCTAGATCACAAATCGTTTAAACAGTCGTTCTGATTTTATCGGTGTTTTTCAAATTGTAACGTATCTAGGTAGAATATATAGGGAAAATTAAGAGAGAAAGTAAAAAGTACCAGATTTGCAGGCCATTTAAACTAGTTTTTTATTTGGATAGTTTATTAAATATGTTACTTACCAATTTAGTTTAACATAAACATATCAGCAATGTTCATGCTAGAATGCTTTTTAAAATCCTTCGATTGGTGTTTCCTGAAGAGGATTTTAGCCATTGTTATAAACTTTGTTTGCTCTTTACCTAGACAAATGGTCTCTCGAGAATACCATTTTGGTCTTAAAACGGGAGCACATAAAAAATTTTCATGCGCTGATTTGCTTGTTAGCTTTTGCTTCCAAGTACATCGCATGACGAAACAGCCACCTCCTTCCCCAATAACTCGAATAACCCTTAAAAAGTTACCATGAAGACTGCCAACATTTATGCCAACCTATCCAGCTGAAAGCAAAGTAGCTCGTAGGCAGTTTCTTTCTTGTTTCTTTTATGTAGTTTCCGTAATCAAAGCCTGTTTCCAAAATGTAACTGGGGGTATATAAACATGTAAACCCTCCTGGTTGTCTCGCCTGTTATATATTTACCCTCCCTGGGTGTTTCACCTTGCCTCATTTTAAGAACAGACTTTGAGATAATTGTGAATGGCCACAGGCTTTTTATGAAGATTCATGACCTCTGTGGTATCGTTATAGTACTATATTTGTAGTAATGTTCTGTAAGTTTCTATGAGCTTAATAAAAAAGTAGCTTAATTTCACTCTCAAACTCCACAATGTTTACTGTCATCTATGTTTCTTGGCTTTCGCATATTTTGTGAAGAGTTGTGCTATAGTAAAATGCTCAGAGTAATATGTTAATAAGACTTTTTCTTCAGGCCACAGTATCGTGGTTGAGCTTCTGATCAAATATAAATCAAATGTGGATCATCAGACGAAAACAGGCTGTACGCCTCTCATGGAAGCAACTAGGTTAGAAAATACTTTCAGTTATGTTTTTATTACACAATGAATGTGTTATGGTCAAGTATACTGTCGGCCAGACCCACGGGTATTACGATACTGGCCAAAGGCTATGGGGGCATTTTTGAGGTGAGCTGGCCCGGTTAGGCGTCGTGACCTGCTTTGCTGGGATGGATTTTAGTCCTTGTTTATGTGTAGGGAGCTAGCCCAGTTTTGGTACACACAGTCATTCAGATTACCATAGTTTACAAGTAAAATCACCCCCACTAAACAAGATAAGCCACTTGAGTGTGTTTTAAGGGAAATTTCCGTCTCATGCAAGCAATATTCCAGGAAAAAATTTGGAAAGTATGATAATTCCTTGCTACATACTAGCGAGATTTTCATATGGATTCTCTCCTCCTAAAACGTTTGAACATATTAAAGAAACACAAATGTGTTTTTACTTTTTCAAAACCGCAAGATGCTGTCTTATTGACTGAAAATTATACGAAATTGGAAAAATGAAGTGATGATATGTGCCTGTGTTCACACCCCCTTTGTCATCCTTGATGAAAACTTTTCAACAATTTTGCCATATCTTCAATCATTTGAAACAAGATATTTAATTATTTTAGTTGACAATTGTGTAATATTATTTATCGCATCTCTCATAATTTTTCTCTCTTTGTCAAAGGGAAGGACATAAGAAGGATGCTGAAATACTTTTGAATCATGGCGCTGACGTCGAATTACCCGATAATTACGGACAAAGTCCACTCTTCATGGCTTGTTGGAAAGGTACGTCTAGCGATGAATTTTCAAAAGTGTTTTCAAACCCCTTATGTTTTATTACATCATTCGCGCCCCCAACCCCCCCCCCCCCCATTACACCGGCATTGAAAAGTGCATAGAAGTATTTGCGTCCACATTTTGATGATTTCCTATTCCGCGTTATTTGTTGCTACAAAAAAGGAACGGATACAAGTGTACTTCATAAAATGATAGTTTAAAAGTATAGAAGGAGTCTTCAATTGTTCCTGATAATCTATTTTACATATTTAGGTCATTATGCAGTAGCAGAACTGTTGCTGGAAAGAACAGCGAACCGAGATTGTCGCACGAAAACTGGAATAACGCCTCTATTTCAGGTAAAGCATTCTCTTCTTTGAAACTAGTTTATATTAATGGACGAGACTACAAGTGGATGGAGCTACAGAAATGCCCGAAGGTGGTGACGTTAAAACCGAGGCGGGCACCTGTAGGCCTTGGGGGTATTCCTGGCAAACTAAGGGGAAGTGAAAGCTTTGTTACATCGACAATCAAATCGTTTTCTTTTTTTTTCTTTTTTTTCATAAGTTGCGCTGAGGGGCCACGTTATGGGACATTTCTGAGGGTATAATGGTCGATTTGTGCAGGTAAATTTGGGGGTCTTCAGTAATGGCTGACCTCTGAGAAATTCATTATCATCGTCTTTCTGTTTGGTTTTGATATCTGGTCCAACGATTTTTGTAGGCATTATAAGCCTATAACTATACAAAGAAGTAGAACTCTTATGTTATCAAAGATTTCTTTTTGATTTTAGGCATGTCGGGAAAATCACGTCTCAATCGTTAAGCTTCTTTTAAACTACGGTGCAAGCGTTAATGCCACCTTTCCAAATAGCAGGTATATTTTCTTTATAAATATAGCTCAATTTTAGCATTTTTGTAGATTACCGCTGTTTCTCAAACTTATCATGGGCATTAGTGTATGTTCAATAGGTGCTACCTAGCTACTTTTGCAAAAAGTGGCTTTTACTTGTGCAGAATAGCCAGGGAGAAGACACTTGGCAGAAATTTTTGATGGCTGGGCTGGGCTGGGCTGGGCTGGGCTGGGCTGGGCTGGGCTTGGGCTGGGCGGGCTGGCTGGGCCTGGCTGGGCTTGGCTTGGGCTGGGCTGGGCGGGCTGGGCTGGGCTGGGGGCTGCTGGGCTGGGCCTGCTGGGCTGGGGCCGTGGCTGGCTGGGCTGGGCTGCCTGGGCTGGCTGGGGCTTGGGCTGGCCTGGCTAGGGCTGGGCTGGGCTGGGCTGGCCTGGGCTGGGCTGGCCTGGGCTGGGCTGGCCTGGGCTGGGCTGGGCTGGGCTGGCCTGGGCTGGGCTGGCCTGGGCTGGGCTGGCCTGGGCTGGGCTGGCCTGGGCTGGGCTGGCCTGGGCTGGCGAAGACCTTTATGCCATTTAGTGACGTTATCGACTTTTTTAAAACGTCGAATTAAAGCTTTTCGTTCTTGATTTCCAGGGAGAATCCGTTGACACTTGCTGCAGAAAAGGGACATAAAGAGCTCGTGAACCTCTTGCTACTTAGGTACGTCTGAAGATATTTACCAAGATGCATGATTTAGGTAGTGAGTCCACATTCAAAAGACTTAAATTTATTTTTATCACAGGTATCTTATAATTGCGTGGATTTTTCACTTGCATTATTTTCACCTGCGTTAAAATTGGCATTATTTTTTGAAGGGGTTCAAATCATGACTGTCACACCAAAAAGGGTTGCTCTCCTCTATTTCTCGCTTGCAAAGAAGGTCACAAGGAAATTGCTGAAATGCTCTACTCTGCAGGAGCCGACATGGAGGTATGATATATTCGCTATTTCTGGCGTAGGTTTTTTGTGACGTAGTTGGCCTCGAATATGTCTCCACAAATTACCTATAAAAATTTAAAATCGACAAGACAAACTTTGGTGTATAAAAAGGTTTTGATTAAACTTTCTTTTTCGTAATTTGTTATAGTTATACATCAACTTGTGTTCTTTATAACAAATGAATAGCATCATAATACCCGTTCTATTTATTGTATCTTCATTGTGCTTATCTTGATCGCTGCCTCGCCTTCATAATGAGACTGTATTTTTCTAGTCCACCGACTGCCGCGGAAATACACCAATAATGGCGGCCTTCAGATCTGGTCATGTTCACGTAAGCCTCTTGTTTTAAACATTTTAAGTCCATGAATTATTTAAAAGATCAACTTCTGTTTGAAAGATAGAATTTAAGGATAAGAAAATGAAAACAAAGAATCACATCAATTGCACCTTATTTTTAGAAACGTTTTCAAAATTTCACTCATAAACTTGGAGAAGGTTGAACGCTATTCTTATCTTCAACATTCTTGTAAGATTCCCATGAAAAAGTCACTATTTTCATTTCGTATTGCTTGTTTTTGTAAACAAACTCCCAATTTAAAAAATTGCTCCGACAATCAAATTTCCAACTAAGATAGAGAAAAAGTGGATGATGGCTTGGGGATTAGAAATTTCTCCATACTTATGTTCTAACAATGCTGTTGCAGCGTGGATTTTGTGATATGTTAGGAAAAAGTTAAGCTTGAAAAACATTTCAAATTTTTAGGCAGTCTCTACAGGAATCGAGGAATTTAGTGTAGATTTATTTTCGAGGCTGATGGAGATATTGAATTCTAGGTTGTCGAATGGCTAATTAAACACACTCACCACCTCCCATCTGATGAGATATGTCACAAAATTTTGATGTCCGTCGTGGATTGTAAAGATAAGGAAGTGTTGTTTCAAAAGAGGAGCAAATGTCTCGCGTTGATTCAGGAGGTAAAACTTTTCAGTTTATTCTTTGTAAACTTCTTTGAACGTCTAGCTATCATTTCAAAATTGTTGGCTTTATGTCTTATTGCTTAAAAGGCAAGATTGTCATAAAGGCCACTTATTTTGCATTAAAAATATTTACTTAAGAAGCTGCTGGTAATAGTTTTCTTCAAATTAGGCCAGAAGATTGACTCATGTAGAGTTCTTTACCTCTTTCCTGTTATCTTGAGTTAACTACCCCATCCATCGTAACTGGGTATTTTTGGAATAGGTCTTCTCGCATACGAGTCTATTTAAGCTCCTTAATGATTTTTATTTACAGGCCAAAAAGAGGAAGGAATTAGAAGCTTTAAAGAACGCCCAGAGTCTTGTGAAGGTTTGTTTTTGTGGCAGTTTTGGGTTTAATTACCGTATGCCTCAAAAATGCTTTTGAAAGGAATATTACAGAAAAGATTCTATATGAATTCTTCATTTAAAATTATTTTGTAAAAACTGAATTATAAAAATATATCTCATACCCAAAGGAATATATCGGATCTCAGGAGAGCAGAGTACATTGACCAAAAAGTTTTATCAATATCTTTGAAATCTGTGTTTTCATGTTTTTCAATAGTTCAATCCCCGTGGTAGACGTTAAAAAAAGTGTATTTGTCACAGGAGAAGCTAGGAAAATTACTTGCAGCCTTTGAGCATTTTAGTCAGGCTTCAGTAAGAATTTTTGCTGCAGTTATTAGTAAATTTGTGTTCTTATTTCTTAAGGAAATTGACGATGAGATAACTCGCGAAGAGAAGAAGAAGAAAAAGCAGGCGGAAAAACGTCGAGATAAGCGACGAAAGAAGAAGTCACTCCGAGAAATGGAATCAAACACCAGCACAGTGGCAAGTAGCGAGCCATTAGAAAATCGTGTCGGTGAAAACGGGTTGAACGATCAGGATGACGACGTCAATGGAAGTGAAATGAAGCTCGAAATGAACCATGGGGAGGATGTTATCGACGATTTGGATGACGAGGAAGTAAAAGGTCAGTTGATTTCCCCGAATTTTAAAAAAGTTCATGAGGAAATATTAACCAAGTGAGGTTGTGTGATGTCTAGACCAAGATCTTAAAAAAGCATTGCACTGAATTGTTTTTTTACCAGTATTCACTGTACTTGACCTTGCCGAACTGAATTTATTATTACATTCACTGAACCACTTCAGCTCTCTTAAGGAGGGGCTGTATATGACAGTCACCCTACCTCCAGTGATTGCGTGATTAAATGCTTCCATTGAATTTTGCCAAGCAGTTTCCCGGAGCGAAGCTATACTGGCTTTCCAAGAAATTTATTATTTAGTAGTATGTGAGTCCATTAAAGAACACCGCATAAAGGTGTGATTAAAATGGATTAGTTTGTATCTCGCGTCGCTATTATCCTTTATGTGTATTTTTCAATTTCAAAGAAGTCCAGTAATACATTCACACCCCATCCTCACAACTGTATGAATGATTTTGTTTCATTTTAACTGGGAACTGTGAACTCGATCGTTGAAATTTAAAGCTTAATCATCAATGTATGGGTCCCTTTATGACATAACTGAGTGTTTGATTCCTTCGCGTGTCAAATCACTTTAGTGGAATCTTCTCATAAATCCAGCTAAATCTATGCGCGAACCTGTATTCACGGACTCTGAGAAGTAAAGCCTGTCCTTAAGAAATATTTTATGCAGTTCAGCATTATAAACTATTCCGTTGTCACCTATTATTTCTTTGAATCATTAATTAAATCCAATTGTTACAAATTTTATCCACAAATCGCCTAGTTTTGAATTTGGAGTATTTTTTACCCCAGTGTTTATCCAGAACTTTTGATGAAGTGCTACTGTTTATCTGTTGTTTTCACTTGTAACCAGTAAAACGGTGGAGGGACTGGAGGGTACAAAAACCGTGGGGGCTGGAGGAGTGTGTCTCAAATGGCTAGTAATATGGCAAGGAAAGCTTTTTTGGGTATTTCTTTTTCGTAAAACTAACCCGAATTAAAAGATTTCTTTTTTAAGTTAAGTTACGTTTTAGTTTCGACTAAATTCAGTTAGGTATTGTGAAATTCCCTGTAAAATTGGCTTTTCATGAAGAGAGGTTATTTGCAATTGCAAGCTTAGATATCTATGTATTTCTAGGGAAAAACTCTTTCATCTTTTTTTGATAGCTTCTAAGATATTTTTTTCCTAGATTTCTGGCTGGAATTCTATTCGTATTGAGATAAGAAAATTTTGCTACAATTGAGTGATTGAAGGTTTGAGATTAAAAAAACGGTTTTCCTTTAGCGAAAAGATTTCCACCAACTAATCTGTGTATTTCTTGGGCTTGCTGACCATTAGAGCTGTATTTGTTAGGACATCACTTAATGTATTATCTTTTGGAAATATTTTTCAGCCGAGAAGCTCCAGCCATATGAGAACAGAGAAGAAACAGAACAAGATGATATTTTCATGGAAGCTGAAGATGAAACCGTTCTGAAATCTCGAGGCAAAACGACAGCTGGTAATACGACTGTTGGGAATAATAACCTAAATACCCAAAGCCGTGTTGCGAATTTGGAACTCAATAAAGGCAGCGTGAGCGGGGATAACGAGGTTTTCGAGGACAGTGATAGCCCACTTGTAAACGGAACAGTGACAAGCGAAAGCAGAAAGGAAAGGCGGCTCCGAGTCTCGTCATCTTTACCTGAAACGGACCTGAGAAATGAGGCAGTAGATGAGATGACTCACTCTCACGCGGTCGTCACCGTAAAACCGAGGCGCCGCTCTGCGTCTTCAGTCAGTGATGAAAATCAAGTTGGAGAGAAGTGGTCAAGGCCTAAAAACTCAGCATCAAACCAAGGGAGTGAGTCCTCAGCAAAGGGAATGTTGTTCTACGGCAAGCCATCAACACCTGTCCACTCAAATGGGCACTCAGGTGAGACAGTTTGCTTGCATTTACCTTCAGAAAAAAATCTGTTGACAGGTGAATAAAAATATTTGTAATTGTTCCATGTTTGTTGAACAAATACATAACATATTTGTAATTTGATTTATTCGTGTTTTTCTGTCTTTTGTGGAAACTTTTGTGTTTACTTCTTCCAAATGACTTTGAATGCAATTATGTTGGGCCTCCTACCTCAAAGTTTTCACATCTTGTTGTATTGCTTTTTCTCTACTTTGGTTCTCTTCCCGCTATATTTCTCAATATGAAGGACAAAAGATGTAGCAAAAGGATGCTGTCCAAATTCTTGTTTTTCTTGTCACATCTTAATTTTATTGTTTACTTCTTTTGTATAGTAAATCTTTCGGATGTACACCTGTAAGACTTTCAGCACAATATTTGTTTAAGGTATTCCCAACATTAAAGAGTAGCGGGTCTTGACATAGGCAATATTTGCTTAATCTTCACTTTACAATAATAATAAGCATGCTACCAGGGCTAGGCTCAACAAGCATTTTTTGCAGTACGGGCTAGAGTTGCTGCTGTTGTTCTGAATCAACCTGATGTTTTTTGGATTCTCGGGTAGATCAAGGCCATTTTATGTATAAAAATATGCTGCTATTATAGGCATCATGCTGTTTTTACATCAACAGTTGAATCAGCACTGCTTAAAATTTTGCAGGGTAGCTGTTGATAAATAAATTAACAAAGACTCAATAGCTAAAATGCAGAACAAGCGAAAGATGCTAAATAATAGACTAGCGTATCTTCGTCTTCGTTTTGTAAAATGGTAACTTTGTTCTGCAGATGCCTTATTATAATGTCACATTCCTGAACACATTTCTGGCAGAAAATGCATGCATATATGCTTAAGATATATTCTCAAAAAGCTTATTCATCTTCTTTCGCTGCGGCTTCGTACATATTAAGATTCTTTTATCAAAAGATATTCATTATTACAAAAAAGATTGCTGGTCTTTTCGTCATTTTATTGCAGACTTTTGTCAAGTGACTATTGAAAACATTTCAAAAAGCAAGAAGTCATGTCAACTGCATTGTGTCTTTCAACGTCAAAATTCATGTTACATCAATTATGTTGCTTTTTTGTTTACTTCATTTATATTAAAGCAGGTGACCTGTCTGAATAAAGTAATGAAATAAAGCAACGATTTCTTGAGCAGTTGTATTGAAAAAGAAAAATGGTCCTACCTCAGTGAGAGTTTCGTAGACAGAGAGTGGTAACATGTGCATGATACTGTCCTATTTTTGCAGTGCCCTCTAGCAGAAGCTCATCCAACACTGCAACAGGAAATTTAGAATTTTTTGAAACAGACTGGAAAGAAGTGCACAAGACCAGCAAGTATGTTACTTTAAAATATTGCCAAATAGAGTATTACCTCTTCAAGTAGAATTTGATGCTATTCCAATGACTTTTGAATTCAAATTAAACTCTAAGAAATATTAAATAATCACAAGGGTGAGGTAAGATGGACTTACATTTAAATTAAACCCACATGTAAATCATTTTAATTTGTATGGTCCCACAGACTGCTATTGGCAATTCGTTATTTTGAATTTCTTGTTTCAAGCAGAAAATCATAGCGAATAAATAAGTTCAATATATTCGTAGTATCGTCCAGTGAACAACCGTTTATAACAACACTAAACATCCAGTTTATTCGACATTGCAGTTCTCATTTTCTAAATTCTCTCCCCTTTCGAATATGCGTATTAATCTCTTTTTTCAAAATATGGTCTAATTATTTAAGCTGCCTTTTTTAACCCATGTCGAATACTGTCCTCAATGGATTTTTATACATTTTTAATAAGCTCGCAAATGCTATTTAGTGGTTTTTTCAATACCCATTTCTCAAACTATAACTAAATTTATTGTTATTTAATCTAAGAAACCCATTGAAGCTTTCAAAAAGTTTAAAATATTTTGTTACTGTTTGTTAACTGTATACCACCGTAGCCACCGTGCCTCGCCGTTTTATGCCCATTTTTGTATATGTTATGTTTCACCATTCTATAGAACGCTCATTATTCAAATGGTTGTACCAAACGCCTACTGTGGAAGAGTGATCGGAAAAGCAGGAAGCAAGATCAATTCAATAACGGTGTGTATCTGTGGCTGCTAAACTTGTTCTTTACAGCTATGCAACGAAGGCAACAGGATGTCTTAATAGTGTTGACGTCACAAAAGTCTATTTTCATGCTAATTTTTCAAGTTTGATCCCATAAACTGAAAGTGCATTATAAAATGCTTCTAAATTTGCAAAATCAGTTAAATGTATAACGAATTGACTGAGATATGACCAGATGAGCACAAGCTCTGGCCCCATCAAACCTCTGTAATTTGGTCTCGATTCATAACTTGATGAACCAATCCAAAATAACAGTAATCTGTTAGCAATTCTTTCACTTGCATAAACTCACCCTGTTTGTTATATGCTTAAGTGAGCTATTTCATGGCGTTCGTTCAGATTATGTGTTGAAAAATTCTAAAAATTGATTTACTAGTGATGTCACAATTGAGAACACTTTTCAGAAGGCAGCATGCCAAAAATAATAATAAATGCGATACCTATGAATAATGCTGTTCGTATGCTTAAAATTCTCATTCAGATAAATAAAATTATCACTAATATTATATGACGATAGTTTTTACTTACAATTCGCTAATTATGAAGTTCTTTATTATCATTTATATCCAATTTGCCATATTGCAATGTTTTTAAAATATTTACAATATGTTGCTTTAGCTCGAGTCACGAATTCAGTTTTTTCCTCATTTTTTTAGCTATTAATCTTAATGAAAGCAGTTTGTTTTTATTGCCAGTTTTCAGCATTGCATTCAAGAAGAAAAGTATTTTCGAAAGTAAATCAAGTGTCCCTTTTTTTAGGATGATTCAGGTGCTCAAATAACAGTTAACAAGCCCGAACCTCAAGCTCCAAATGATAGACTTATAATTGTCAAGGTAAGAGATAATTGCGTCACTAGATTCATTTGGTGCCACATGATTGGTTGAGGAATGAATGATTAATTTGATCTAGTAAACATTGGTTGTATTGTAGGCCAGATAACGTGAAATTTACTTATTTAAGCGAATAGGCTTAGTGGCTTTGGAAGATGGGACTATCAGAGCAACCAAGGCTACCATTTTATTTCCGCCAACTTGTTGCCTCCATGTTCCGTTTGAAATCAATGCAATCCTCTCTCAACTGCAATGCATTAGAAACACCAGGCTTCGCAAAAACTTTGTTTGGAAGTGTTATTATTATTATTATTATTATTATTATTACAGGTATCTAAACTTTGTTCTGATCTTTTATTGTTTTTTCTCCGTTTCAGGGATCTCCGCAGAGCGTAGAGCGGGCGCGTTTTCTTGTCACCGAGGCGCTTAACTCGCCAAGCATTTTTCAAAACCAAGGCAGGAACAGTATTACCCTCGGTGGATTCATTGATCAAAGGTCACTCTCCTCCGCGTCATCAACCACTCCACCGCTGCCCACCCAACAGCAGCATTCAGTGCCTATGGGTATGGAATCTCCGAGGCAGTCACCAGTGGTAACAACGCCTAGCCCTCGAAGCATCTCCTCTGTATCTAATGCCATTATTTGCAGTAGTGGCAATAATGTCACAACGAATTCCTTTGCATCACTACCAAATCAGAGTCATTTCGCAACGAGCCGCGTCTCTTACAGCAAAGTAACAAGTGGTGCCTGGCAAATCTCGCCGACAAACAAAGGCTCAAATCCCTTGATACAGGTAATGCCATTTGTAATTTCAGTTAATGCCGATGTATCATTTGTAATCTTTAGAAAGTTTAAGAAAGGACACTTTTGCAACTTTTTTTGTCGGTAACAAGAGTATCTCTTTTGGAATATCTCCTTGCTTTTGATCTACGAATAGTGTCTTCTGTTTATCTTGATTTTTCAGGACCATTTAGGCAACATTTACGAGTAATTTTTCAACAGCTGGGCCTAGGCGAGTTGAATTATCTTTATAGGCCATGTGGATGTTGGTAAATCAATCAATGTAAAGGGAGAGCTCTCTGATAAGGTCGCAGTTTCTTGATTTTAATTTAATCACGCTGTAAGCAATTCTTGATAAACAATTAAAATAAATTGCAGCCTCAGAATCTCCCGACAAACACTATTGCAGTCTCCACCCAAAGTGTTAGTACGACAGTAGCCCGCCCTACACATGCTGTTGCTACGGAGTGTCCAGCTGACATTGCGGAGAATTGGGATTCATTACGTCACAGTGGCGACACATCATCAAAAGGTCGACCTGGTAAGTTGGTTGCATTTAAGCAGTTGAAAAGTAGCTATCATCCTGTACGATCTGCACGAGGCCTGTACTTAAACACCATACCGCACCGAGTGTTTTGTATTATTTTCTTTTGCCATGCACGAAATGGCGTACAGTGGAATCCTTCTATTACGAACTGCGCTTATTACGAACTCCTCGCTATCGCGAACTAAAAATCTGGTCCCATGGAATACTTCCTGTAAAACAAACCCACGGTGTAGCGAACTATTTACTTCTTTGTCCTTAAAGAATTCTTAATAGTGGAATTTTGCTGTATAACAATTCTCTTCACTTTCATGTGTGCCCTTTGGTGTCGCCGGGTCCTAAAACAATCGCCCCTTTATCTTTTCAGTTGGCCTGTCATGGTATTTTTATTTAGCATGTAACTACAAATACGTTTTTTGCTATGTTGATTTTGATATTAGTAGACTCTTTCTAATCCTCGACAATTTTTCTCTGACAATTTCTTGAGACTCATCTTCAAGATAGAAATCAACGAGAGAGTAAATCGTTTTGTAGCTTTCCAGTTGTAGTTTTCAACTTTCCATGTATTAGTGCACATGTATTTTGGACCCTCTTGTGTTAGCTAATTTTATTTTGAATGTTTTTAACGGTTTGTCGATCGTCGCTTTGTGCACTTCTTAATGTGTTTATTTATGCTTGCCTTTCTAGTTAAAGAAGGTGCTATTAGCAAAGAGCAAAATTCAGAGCAATTTGCCTTCCCACCTGCCGGATTTTTAACATCAGATAAATTTGGCAGCACGAATGCTAATGAAAATACGAGTCCACGACAGCAAGTCGAAGAGGAAGCTGAGTTCTCCTATTTCAGCCCCTGGAATCCTACAAAGACAGGTCTGAATACCCTTAAATTCAAGATTATTTAGCTAATGTTATTTTATTGTGAAAAATCTCTAAGTTCAATAACGAAAAGAGATTGTAGAATATCATATGTAGGTGCTAGATCTTTGTAGAATATATTTTTTGAAAATTTGGAAATCTATTTGCGCTCTTTAAAAACAATCAATTTTTATTTGGTTGTTATCCTCTTTTATTTCACTCGAGAAATTCTAGTCAGTAGCCATCAACTCCAATGTTTGTCTTTAACTTTTTGTTTAACCATGCTACATATAGATTTTGATAAACGATACGTGCTTCCTTATCAATAAACGTTTTTGATTGCAACATTTGCAGACAGTGGATTGGCACGAACCATTCCCGAAACAAGTGGCAGCTTGGAAGGCGAGGTAGTGTCTTGTGCTTGCGTTTTTATTCTGTAGTTTCATATGGAAACCTGGCTACCTGTGTTGATATCATTCGATAGAATTTGTCTACATAAAATGATAGCTAGAAATAAAGAAAAACATGTCTGGACGCCGTTCTAATGGCCCAGCTAATTGTTCATCATGTTGTCGAGTCGTATGTCGTATCTTGAACACTGTATGGAGAACTTATGTCTGTTACATTAATCTCAATTTATATGAAAGGATGGTTGGTATGGGCATCTTATAAAGCTTACGGAAATGTTTATAAACTTTTAACATGATATGAATGAAAGGCTCCTTCACCTAAAGCTGCTCTGACTGGATCCTATGCGCCCATTTTTTCCATTTTTTTCCAAAAAAACTCTTCTCTTCCATTTTTTGGTTTATGTAGATAGGTATGCACGAAATTGCTTTTGTCTCGTATGCGAAAATATAACTTCGTTGATAGAACCAAGTAAATTTTGCTTGGAAAACTGTCAAATACCGTGAGTTCGAACATAAGTCACCGTGCAAGAACCTCATTCTGTTGAATCGTTTCTTTTATCAACTCTTACCTTTGGTGGCGGTGGGTTCTGCCTTTTTTATGCGTTGTTGTGATGTTCAATCTATCTAATGTGTTTTTATTAGTGCTGCAACTCTCATGTAATGCAGATGTTATGGTCAATATTTTTCATCCCTACAATCTTTATTTTTTAGGGCGCCTTGCAAAGCTTCAGTGCGCTCGTAAAGTCAAGCTTATTTTCAAGGTATCGTCAACGTTTTACGGGACTTGTTGCTCCTTCGGGAACTTGGGAAGGGTTTCATGGTTGTTTGTGAAGGCTGCAGAGTGTCATCAATTTGCATCTACCGGTTGTGTCACTTTGTATGAGATCCCATTTAATATTCTATATATGGAAATCATAGGGACTCATTTTCAAGCTTGAATGCTTGCATTCTTTTATGACAGAGGAAAAAGTGATCTAAAATACTTATTCTTCGCAAATACTTCCTTGATTTGACCTCTACAATAATTACTTCTTATGTTATTTGTGAAAAATTGGTTTTTCTTGTTCATGTTTTAAGCATATCCTGTCATTTTTCAGGGACATACCTCCGTTTCCATGGCAAAAGGCTGAGGTAATTAGACAAGACCGAAGTCGAAGTTGGGCGGGCAGGGTAAGAAGTTATTATGTGTTGTTGATAATCATTTTCTGGAACTGAGGCCTTGAAAAGGCTTTTGTCAACCTTGAATCCCTTAAGGTGTTAAAACACCTTATAAGGGTTGGTAACAGCAACCGGAAGCAACTGTTTTAAATCCTATTGAAAAATTGTCATGAAGTCAAATATCTCTTTAACCGAATTACCACTTTTACCATTCATGGTTTTTGTTGATAAAAATGTAACGTTTTGTCAAATCCCACCTCCTTAAGAACCTTATTCGTATTGAAATTTATGATTTTTATCAGCACAAGTTAAATATTACATTTAATGTTGTTTAAAACTGAGCATTTAATATTTTTGGTGTGCATTTGTAGCCAACGCAACTCACAACTGACTTGGCCTCTCTGAAAATAAATGAAAATGATGGCAGTCAGTCATTATTTGGCAATCGTTCGGTCTCAACTAACATGCTATCTGAGAGACATACGCCCGGATTCAAGTCGCCATGGGGAACGCAAATTGGCAGTGGTGCAAACACGGCGAATGGCGAAGAAGTCAATGATCCTGTCTTTATTGACAAGATGCCTTGGATTGGTGACGGGGGTGATCGGGTAAGATTCGTTGTATTTTTAAAAGCGTCGAGTAATTCACTGCAACTTTTGCATTTGGTCCCCACCTGAACAGATGCGTTCCTTTTGTAGCGCCTTTATTCTTTCACCAGCGGATCCGAACGAGTGCTGTCAACAGCTATAAGTCTTGATAGGCCTGTCGAGCCTTCTAAATTGGTAAATATATACAACTTCGTTCAGCCTATTGCACGTAAAGTGAGGTCTAGTATATGATCATACTTGAATAGAAACTTTGTAATCGAAGAAGTATTGTTACGCGGTTTCGAGCACAACTTTTGAAGGTATCCCTGACGAAATGTATTTTTTGTTTATAACAAAATATTAACCATTGGTCAAAATATATTTGATGTTTTAGGTGTCAGATTCACTGTTGATGAGCAACACAGATACCTGGGAACCATCCTCCAGTCCGACCAGCAGCTTGAGCAGCAGTCGACAAGAGCTGAACAACATCCTTGACAATGACAGTGGAGTTGGCGGTTCAAATCTCTGGTCCCAGACCCCTACGTCCGAAAAAGATTCGTCTTCTCAGCCAGCAAGGGAATCATCGTTTCTGGAAACGGCACTGGGTGCCACACCATGGCTTAATTCACGTGGCGCATACAGTGCTCCTTCATCGCCAGCGCTGCAACGCAGCAACGATAATCCTTTTCTCACCCCAAACAAACAGAATTTGAAGTCGCATCCCTCTATGGAGGAGCTTAACAGTCGTGTTTGGGGAAAAGAGTACATGGAACAGGCAGAAGAAAATCCATCTTGGGGTTCAAGCCGTTCATCTCCACCCACGCGTCAGGGTAGACGATTTAGCTCTGGTGCAGTGGTTGTCAGTAATGACAACACACAGGACAGTGGCATGTCATCACCGCATAACAGAAACAGTGAATCAAGCAGAACATCACGTGTTGAGAAGCCTAACGATTCGCCTTTGGTGGCGAGCAGTGTATGGAGGCAAGAAAGGTTCGAGAGCGTTGCATCAATGAATGATCTGCTGTCCTCCCTCGCGTTGGACAGATATAAAGATTTATTTCAGGTGATGATTGTCTTGTTAAGATTTTGTTCAAAAATGTTCTCACGACCTTGTTGTAAACATTTATCCAACTATGGCAATGAAAATAGTAATGTAACCTGCTTCTGACTTTCTAGTTTAAATGATTTCCTGATCGGGTTGGATACTGTCCTTGTTAAACAGACCATCCACTATATTCGGAATCTTACGGTATTTGCATATGTTACTTCTAAATATTATCTTTGTTCCCTTCACAATCACCATATCCTAATTACTGAAGTTATGTTGTAGGAAAATGGCATCGGAATTGAAAAATTGAGTAACATGTCAGAAATTGATTTGCAAGACCTGGGAATCGCAAAGGTAAGATCCATTTTATTATGTTGAGTTTAGCAAAAATTTGTTGGTTCATGAGTGCCTATGATATCCCTGCTTTGAAATATATCGCCTGTGTTGCTATTTCTCAAATTTTCCTAAATTTAAAGGACTTTTCTTGACTCTCTTTCATTATTACGATTTTGCTCCTAATGCCTTCCGTAATAATGAAAATCAAATATTTTTAGCTTTTTGTAAAGAAACGGTAACTGTTTGGGATGCTTTGAATAATGTTTGGTGATATATCCAAGCCGTTTTGGAAGGGATGTCAGTGACTAGCTGGCCATAAACCAAATGAGTGTTGTTTAGTAGGAAAAATATACAATCTTTATGGAAAGAATATTTTTGAATAATGAAAATATAGGAATAGGAATCGTCGTTAGCTATCCAAATTTTATACAGTTCCTTTTTGTCTATGTTAAAGCTGCGTGACGAATTTTTATAGTAATTTGATTGGAAATCTTTTTTACAGGGCCCAAGACTAAAGCTCTTGAGGGCAGTCTGTTTAATGACAGGTTTGCATAAAACTAAATTGTTTAAATTTTTTCATATTTTTGACACCATTGTTGACATTAGTGACATTGCTGGGGAGCTCTTTCTCTCTAGACGAATTTTAGTGAAAGTTTGAGTTCCATCACGGCCTTTAATCCCGTTGTATCAAGTTTATGAACGAAACTTCGTATTCGATGTTTCGTTGGGGCGAGGGTATGTTCTCAATCCTTTTTTAACACTGTTATGGATAATATTTTCTCAAATGTCTTCGGGTCTTAAAGGCTGTAAGAAGATGTAGCTCACATCTTGTTGAAGTCATCCAGCAATGTTGCCTCGTGGCTCGAATACCTTCTTTCCGTATGCTTTTAGCGCTTGACATGCTCTAAAAAATGCGAGAATTGCCATCTTTAATCCCTGCTTTTAATCCTTATAGAATCAAGGTCACGTGATGAGCCACACAAAATTGACAATACCGTCTCTTCCGTCATCCAACAACAGCAGCAACTGTACGAAAACATACCTCTTGAACAGTTAGTTGCTGGGCAGCAAACACAACAATATTCGAGCGGATTCACGCCGCAACAGGGCCCACATCACCTTCCACAGATGCAAATTCCATTTCCACCCGGTTACGAACATTTGCCGCACCACCGCTTTAACTTCGCACCGCAGCATATACGGCCGCCCCATTCGATGATTGACAATGCCTCGCAGAAACCATTTCAGACTACTGATTACATGAACCAGCTGCCCCACCATTCACAGATGGCTCCAGGGTCGCAGGCACCAGCGTTTCCAGTCGTGTATCAAGAGGGGCCTGCGTATTTCTTTTATCAACATTAGAAGCAATTTAGTGACTGTATTCATTCGACGGCGATGTGTTCTCATGCATATGCCACGTAGTTGTGTATTTTTGGTGTTGATGCGAAGGCGTGTAGCACGCTTTTGTCAATCATAGCTAAACCTTGTCTGATCTCATAAAACCGTGCGATTCGCCTTGGGCGCTGGCTGTTTTTCCTGTTGAAATTCGTATCTTGTATCCATCAACTGCTTCCTCCTATCTAACAAAGCTTTTTTCTCAATTTTCAACTTCTTAAAATCGTAAGTAAAAGTTTTCAGTAAAGGATTTTGTTAAAATTGTCAAAAAGGCAGGTGATGTCTCTAACAAGTTTAACTTCTCCCTCGTTACTTCTCATTCCAGTTTGAAATTATTCTCAAACTAAGGTTGAAAACTCATAGTCATATTTCTAGATACATAAGGTATTGTGGAAAGTAGCGCGCTCTTTTGTACCGCCAAGACTTTCCGGTTTATTCTGCTAAGCTGACCTGGACCATCTCTAAAGTTAGAGACCATCTCCCAACCGTTTTGATAAACCTACCAACCCAGAGCCCTATATATCTATCCTCAGTTAATAACATCAATACCTTATCAGATATCACTTTTGACCCTTGTGTTGTTATTTAAGTTTAAATTGAGATCTTCGCTATCAAGAACAAGTCACGGAATTGTAAGTATTCCTTCAGTTTGTTTGCTTTTAATAGTGCTTTTCTTAGTATAGATTGTGTTTATTAGTATTGATAGATGGCCTCCGGGCCACAACAACGTAGATGGCCCCCGGGCCACAACAACTGATAGTTCGCTCTGTGTAAGATCCGCCATTTTTCTCGCGTTAGCTCAATTGTTTGTCTCTTTCTGTTTTTCACTCGCTCAGAAAGCTCATCTTTGGATTTGGCACAGTAAAAGGCCAGTTTTGTGGATAAACCTCTATCATCCTGCAGGCATTCAAAAATTACTTGGATTGAAACTCTTGGAAGCAAAAGAGCTTTTGCAAATTTTTGATTCAAGTATTGGTTTGCAAAAGTTTCAAATGCTTCCTTAGAGACCAATCTATCTTCAAAGCCTGTAAAAAGAAAATTAAAACATCTGGTAAGGTAGGAGACGGGGAATCTAACTAACGGTGACAAGACAATCATTGTATACATTGTTGTTTTGATCTTATTTGAGATTTCATGTTCACATAATTGACGAGTCCAAGTTACACTCATTTTTTTAATAAGAAACAAAGGTCGATCTTGAGTACTCCAGTTTCTTAATGTTCTCGAAATTTCAATACTCGTTACTTAAGGGTTTTTTAATCATGATATCATGAATGATGTTATGAAATGTTCATGACCTTTTCTATCACGTCAAAAGATTTGCTTCCGTTCTGACGCTGTATTTAGATGTGGGAAGTATACTTTTATCCCTTGTGTCTTAAGTTCTAGGCCAACAGGGCAATCATGTTCTTGGATTTTACAAAATTTCGTTGTTCTCAGGTTTATAACGATTCAATAGTTTCTTAATTTTTTTGCTTCGATTACTGAAATTTCTTAATTTATTTCTGACTGTCCAGTACTTGTTTCTTAAAGCCAGTTTCTTATAAAAAAAATTAGTGTATTCAATCTAATAGGGACATCCTTTAGTTTAAAAATCTCATTAGTGAAACATGTACAAACACGTTTATTCGGGTGCTTCGAACCAATGTCAGCGAATAAGTGGCAATTTGAGCCGAATAGCGAGCAGACAGACAGCAAATAAGGAAACAAACTGAAAGCAAAGGCCTATAATTCGAGAGGACAAATAGAGATTAGGCCTGTATTCGTTACCATAGGCTTTGCAACGTGGAAGTGTCAGACAAAAATTTTGTGAAACGAAGCATATATATTCGGAAAAGTTTTGCGAAGAAACGAAGCATATTGTTAAGAATTATGGAATGAAGTGGTCGGCTGACAGCGCATATATTCGGTAAATGAATGCTGACCGGAGCGGCAGTGTCCAAAAAGAGACGTTTAATATTGACATGATAAAATATTCCACAGTAGTCACTACCTTACTATTTATGTGTCAGAGCCTTGATTTCCATTGATTTCAATGTTTTCTGGTATGATAATTTCTGTCTCAAATGTAAGCCTGCAGGCTTGGAAAAACCGTACTTTTTCAACGAAAGTTGCCCTCTTGTAGACAATCAAAAACACTATTTAGCGTCAAAGATGAACCAGGAACAATCCTATGGCTTACCAGAGCCTCGATTTTCATTTATTTCAATGTTTTCTGGTATGATGATTTCTGGCTGAAATGATGATAGTTTTTGATTATTTTTATTTAGCTCTAAGTAGTTGTTGCTTTGAACTGGTTCTGTTTAGTCACCTATTTATTTTTTGATTTTGATTAAACGGACTGACATTGGACCAGATTTTTTGTTACCCGATACGTTTTTGAGGTATTAAACAGGAGCATGGCTAGAATCTTTCGAATATGAAAAACGGATATTTCTCGCGATGTTATTCCACGTGACATTTTATGCTCTTTCAGAATCTGCTTGTCGCCACTTGATTCTATTTCGTCATCGTCCCAGCTCTCTACAGAGCTGCACGAGATAGTGTGCGCTAGCGCATGCGAACCAGTTGTATGTTCATGCGTTGCGAACAAGCTGAAAATTTGATACTCCGTTCAAAGACTTCCGATTTTTGCTGTTTCCAGCATCATCTGGTGGACTTTCTGTTTTATTGCTCAGATAAGTACAGTTATTTTCTTAATTGTTCTTATTTTTGTGAAAACACTCTCAAAAAAACTTTGAAGGCCATGAGATGGGAAACTATACAATTAATTATGATCATAGTCAATAGAAAAACTATTGTCAATTTTTTCTATTGACTATGTTATGTTCAAGAGTATGTGCTCCCTAAATGGACTAAATAGGCATGTCTACTTTCAGCGATGATAATTCTCACTATGTCCAACGTGCCTCGTTTTCTTATAAATTTCTAAATTACTATGAAATCTGTACCATTTTTGGCACTTACTAATGTTCCAAAAAAGATATTTGTGCCCTTTTTATTCGTTTTGGCCCCCCTGTTCAAACCTGCGTCCGGCGGCCCTGTGAATATTGCTTTTGATTTTTGACTTTATTGTTTACTGTTTCAGATCCCAGACTTCGGAAAAATCCTACAGTGAAAAGATTCATGCGCGGCGTTTTCCAGTTACGACTTTCACTTCCTAGGTATAAATCTGTCTGGAACGTGCATTCCGTATTTAACTTTTTCCGCAGCCAACCTTGTGTTTAGGATTTGTCGATTAAAGGTCATATGACGATGTTCACATATTTGGTAGAGCTTTTTTCGCTTGTCAAGACGCCGTTTCATTTTTCTTTCTACGACTTCAACTTGTCTAGATATGGCGCTCGAAAGCCCGAAAAAGTGACCTTCAAAAGCGATGCCACTCGAACGCGGTCAGATCGACGCTGTGACGTAATAGGTTTGACACGTCCCTTCGATAGCCATTGGAACCTTTGTCAGTGATGTTGATAAAAAAAATCTTGCAAAACAAGATAAAAGCACGAGACTTTGTCAGAATACAGAATTTGACACGCTGAAAAAGATAGGATGCATATCTTATCTGGCAAATGCCCCCTTGTGCTATTTTTAGACTGGGGTACTCGATTCCAGGCCTTTGAAGGGGTTTTTCCATAAATCAGTTGAGGATCGCGATAAAAGCATGAAACTTTGCGAAAGTACAAAGTTTGATATGCTGAAAAAGATAGGGTGCGGAACCCAGTTGGCAAATTACCCCTTGTGCTATTTATAGACTGGGGTACTTGATTCCAGGCCTTTGAAGGGGTTTTCCATAAATCAGTTGAAGATCGCGAAAAACATGAAAATTTGTGAAAGTACATAGTTTGATACGCTGAAAAAAAAATGTGGAACCCAGTTGGCAAATTACCCCTTGTGCTATTTATAGACTGGGGTACTTGATTCCAGGCCTTTGAAGGGGTTTTTCCATAAATAAGTTGAAGATCGCGATAAAAGCATGAAACTTTGTGAAAATACCTAGTTTGATACGCTGAAAATGATAGGATGCGGAACTCAGTTGGCAAATGACCCCTTGTGCTATTTATAGACTGGGGTACTCGATTCCAGGCCTTTGAAGGAGTTTTTCCATAAATCAGTTGAAAATCGCGATAAAAGCATGAAACTCTCTGAAAGTATATAGTTTGATAAGCGGAAAAAGATAATATGCAGACCGAAGGTGGCAAATTACCCCTTGTGCTATTTTTAGACTGGGGTACTCGATTCCAGGCTTTTGAGGATTTTTCCCAAAAATCCGTTTCAAAACACAATTAAAGCAAGAATCGTGCTGCAAGTACATGATTGATCGCTGAAGATGGGATACTGCCTCGAACTGTCAAGTACCCCTTGAGCTATTTTTAGACGAGGGTACCTGTTCCCAGGCCTTTGAGGATTTTTTTCAAAAACCAGTTGCAAAATACAAGGAAGTCCAAGGAATTTGAAGGGTTTTCCCATAAATCAGTCATGGAACTTTGCAAACGTACGTACAACAAGATTGTTCTAGAAAACTATATGCACATTGTGCAGCAAAATAATTTTGTAAGGATAATCAAATTGTAGTTATGACATGGTAATTTGCATTGAGAAAATTTAAAAAAGGCTTTAGGAATATAAATCTCAAGTACATAAAAAATTCTTTGCTTTTCAAGTTCATACCAAATACATTTTTGGTAGGATTCCAAGCATTGAGCTGGGCCCGGCCTTGCTTTCGGCGGCCCTGGGGAAATGCCTGATGTTCGTTCAGTTCCTTGTGACAACACTTCCTGATTCAACAGCAAGTGTTGTTTTTATTGCACAAGTGAGAGCAGTTCGTACTGCCTTTGAGTCTTGTCCTTGAAATATGAGCCGGCAAGGAGGAGAACTTCTTTGTGAACAAGATCCTTGAAGGGGTTTTATTCTGTTACACCGTTATTCATGCCTGTTTGTTAAACCATCAGATGTGAGCGTGGCCTACGTCTCGTTTATTTCTCGGCTGCAGCAGTACTTCCTTGTCTGATAAGCGATTATGTTGAGCACTTTGTACACGAGCACCTGTGATAGAAAAATATAATCACGATTCAGTCTTTCCCTTTTCCCACCAATTTAATGAAATAGAGTTCGCCAATCTAGTGAAAGCTTGCACACAGTAAGGTCTGTTTATCAGGTTAGTCTCCCGTTTGCTTTAGGCCAGTAGGCCAGGCTCGTGTTTGTGAAAGTTTCTGCCTTGAAATACTATAAATTGTAAAGATAATGGAAAAATAAAGAATTTAGTTTACCTTTGATTCAAGGCAATATGTCTCTCAAACCAAACTCCAAGCTGTGTTGATCAAACGCAATCTTCATTCCCAGGACACAGAAGAGAAAAAGTATTCTGTGCCCAGGATGGTCCTAGTCCTCTCCCTCACATCGTTCGACGAGGATTGACGATTCTTCTTCGGAGGATACCGGTGTTATGTGCTAGTAAATCTAGAAAGGCAACCAAATTCAGCCAATGCTACCTCACTCATTTAATTCATTCGCACATTAATCGATATATTAGGTTTTTTATCAGCTCTATCTACACGTTTACTGTTATGTTAGGTTATGTTAGATTGTCCTGTTTACACTATTACTGTTATCTTAAGATTTTCTATAGACGTAGTTACACATATACACATTTACAATTATATTTACACATTTCTATATATGTTAAGTATTTTCTAGCCCTGCTTACCCATGTTTAATGTTATATTATGTTCAGCCGCTCGTTTAAACGTTAATCATTATGTAGGGCTTCTCCTGCTCAAATATGTTGAACGAGTCTCTGCTAGCAGAGATTTCTTTGGTAGTTGGCATCTTCCTTTGCCTCATTTCTCTATTATGCTATTATGTATCAATGACAGCTCTAAAACCTCGTGCAGCTCTGTAGGGAGCTGGGACGACGACGAAATAGAATTAGAAAATAAAACGAACCTACCTGTAGGTAAAGTTTGATTGTAATTCTATGAGTCATCGGCCGTGACCGGAGGAGCTGTACGCCCTCCCGATTATATATGGTTTTTCTCCCCTCCCAGCTCCTCCTATTTTTTCCTTTATATATCAGTGGTTTGTCACTGCTTCATTTCCTTAGCTCAAAAGGCTGGTTCGCATGCGCTAGCGCACACTATCTCGTACAGCTCCTCCCGAGGGGCAAATCACTCTAAGAAAATCTCGTAAAGAAATCCTTTTTTCAGGCAAAATCTCCTACGCTATTTGCAAGAGTGAATTGCCACTCGGCTCCTTCGGTTACGGCCGATGACTCTTGGTAGGTTCATTTAATTTTCCAATTATGTGGTGGGTGTAGAAAGGCGTGATCATGTGATGCCATCCATTTTTTTCGAAGGAAATATGTCTAAAATGTATTGCAAAAACCAGCCGAATTGCCCACTCTAACAATAATTTTGCGCTCTTACAGTAGTGGGCGTGAAAGGGTGTTGTGAAATTTAATCAAGATAGACGACAATGCTGAAATGTATCTTAATTGGGTATTTTAATTTCAACTATTTGTAACACAAAGGCTTGAAAGATTTTAAATTTACTTTTTGTTTTAAGATTTTGAATCTATGAAGGGATGCATGTGCATTTGATGTGTTTGAGTGTGTTTATGATCTTTGTCACATGTCACATGCTGATCAACTACATTGATAACAAAAAATGCATTGAATATTTGATGGTGCTATTCATTTCGTGACGTCCCTCTTTATCAGATGACCTCTAAAAGCCATTTCAGCTGTTTGTCAAATGATTCAACGTTTCTTATTTATCGGGTAATTCATGGCTTGAAAATTAAGAAACTAAAGATCTCAAAAAGGAATTTTCGTCTTGCTTCCTCGCAATTTAATTTCAACGTGGTTTATAAGAAATGGTTTAGTGCAAACGATTAAAGCAAAAAATCCAACCTATTTTGCTTAGCCATTAAGCCAGAAAAGTCTGGTTTAACCCTTACTTCTGAAAAGTAGCCTTGAATCTAGAAATATGATTCTGTTGAAATGTCTTTTACTTCCATGGCCTAACAAATTCTTATTAGATTTATATTCAGTGCTCATTCTATCCAAAGTACCAAATGATTGTGTTAACATACAGTCACGTTGGCGAAAAATGGACAGTGTGTAGCATTTTATCATAAAACTATTTGGCGAAAAACCTCTTTTCATCAACAAATAGTTAAACAATTTAGCTTGAAGATAACAATATTTTTGCTTAACTTATACCTGCGTAAGTCCTTACATTGCTTAAGTCAAATTTTAGGACGTTTAACTGCTAGCTACTTGCTTTCTAACCCCAAAATAAGGGTATACAATCGTCAAAAAGTCAGTCATTTTTTAGACATTCAACGTCATCCCTACAATAGACGTTGAATGCTTTCACCTCTTTGACTTGACCTCTAAGCTAAACTTCAAAGTATGTAAGACAATTTCGATTCCAACCGACGGCAGAGTGCCAGTAGGGGTAAACAGATTTTGGTGAGATAATCACTGCCACAAATGCAAGAGCTTGTTATTGTAACTTAATTAATACAATTAATTGCCAACGTTGATAATTTATAAACTACCTGGTTTGATTTATTTATCGATTTTTAACAAACCGGTCCTCAATTTTCTATTTTCTTCTCTAAAAGCCCATCTATAGTCAGTACGAAGCTGAGGGTATCCCCAATTGGTCTTTATAGGTTTTCCTCAAAAAGGGAAGATTTGGGACGATATTGGACGACGGGTTCTACTTTGTACTAATGGTTAAGAATGGGTGGCCTCAAATTTAACGAATCTTGAAGTGTACTACTTGATCAAAGTAGCTGTCCTCTTCAAACTCCGGCCAGAATGGAGCCTAGCCATTAATCGGCCCACGTGGTGTAGCATTTTTAAGCGAATACTAGATGCACTTTGGATCCGTTCAGTGCCAAGTAAATGCTAAAATATTCACTTCTTCACAGTCTGTCATTGTAGTTTCTTTTTAAAATGTTCATGTTGGCTTCATGAACATTTAAAAACCCTTGCCAATGTCCTATGAGCTGATAAATGTTTTTGCAGCACCCCCTCCCCCCCCCCACTTGAATCTAACCGAGGGGCAATTCACTTTTGCAAACAGCGTACGAGATATCAGGGATTTTCAGCTAAAACAATAAGATTCTCGCCAAAGGTGTACGATATTGCCTTGGGGGATTTGCACCTAGCGTCTTCATGCCCCTAGTGTCTTCATGCCCCTAGTGTCTTCAATATGAAAAACAGAACAAGTAAAATATGAACGCACGAGGAAGCCCTCCTGACCGGACAAACACTAAACTCTATCTTAAATAAATTTATGTTGTACAAAATAGATACATTGGTACGAAAAACATCAAACCTTCAATATGTATACAATATGTGATTTTGCTCTTTATTTCGACCACTGCCAGTGTATAGGTTAGCTAAGCAAGAAATGCAATGATCAAGCCTCGTATCGCTCTTTGGTAAATCTAAAAAATTATTGACTTTGAACTGGCCTTTTTTAAAACTGCACTTTTAAGAAAAATTTACAATTGAACCGGATACCCAGATCAACTATTGTATATTTCCTATATAAGGTATTCCAACAACTCAAGGGAACATCAAGAGAACTCAAGCAGCACTTCTACAAATCCTGAATATAAATAACGAAGAACATGCTTTTGAGCGTAGGAGACGGGAAAATAAGGGTCTTTTTAATGTTTTTACCGCTAATAGATAAATCAATTCAGATTTATCTTTGAATTTTAAGGACAAAATACAATTTGGATTCAAGATCGAAAAAAATTAGCAGGTCCTTTTAGTTGACACCAATCGTTAGCGCAAGTAACTAAGCGCTAATTCTAGTCTTCTTTCAAAAACAAAAGGTGAAAAGGAGGCATAATGGCTTATACTTTGTGCAGGTTACTTTACTGATACAAGATGTTTTCTTTAGTTTTTTAGACACAAAGCAGCTTCTCATAACTAATCACTTCTAAAGCTATTCGCGTTTCCACTATTGGCCTTTAATGTAAAGGCTTCAACCCTAAAGGTTTAGAACGAGCTACAATGAAAATTTGAAAACGCAAGGAAATTGCCCCTGTAAGTGGGCCGAGCGGGAAAACATCTTTTTAGGGACTTCAGAGAGTATATTGTTTGGGAAAGGGAAAATGGAAACACAGCCTGATAATGTACTGTACAACTTAAACCTCTTTCTGAGTCCTTGCATCCTACTTTGCCTACGATCACGCACGTCAAGATTGACACATTGAAATCCAGCAGACACCAACATTGATCCAAAGGGCGATAAATAACGGAAATAGGTTCTAATCTAAACCCACTGATCCCATGCCTAACGCCCTTCTGTTGCAACTGTCGTTTAGAGCTTGGATCGAATTTAGAGATTGAATCAAGCCAAAAATCGGGTTTAACTGCTTAGTACAGAATCAGGCTTAATATGCGAAGAAAAATACAGGGTCCGGAAAGGGGGTCAGTAGGCATGCCACAGAATTTTCAGAGGGCAAAGAAAGCGATTTACTTTCTTGTATTTGAGGCCCTCTCTTGGTTTGCTCTCAACACGCTTCAAGTGCTCGTGACATCGCCAAACCAAGGCGAATGTAACAACATTTGGAAAAACTAGTCACCGATAATCTTAACAATCCTTTCTTTGATTTTTTTAGTTGCGTTTTTTGCATCAGGAATTAAGAATCTCTGTGTGGCAGTAATCTGGTATGATTCTCCGTTACTAGTTCCATATTTGAATGTTATCAACTGTGGGTGTTTCCTCTTTGATGTGATTTTAACGATCGATGTCAGATGAGGGCGACTCAATATGTGTGCCCAACCAGGTCTGTCGATGATCTCGCGTAAAATGAACAAGTTGGTCAACGTAAGTAGGATGTAGCTGCAAAGGAAAGATGTGACAAAGCCATAAAAAGAACTGCATTCACATGGTTTCCTTTAATCACAGGCGTAAATACTAAAACTGCTCTCGAGATTATTCTTCTGCTTTTCAAAATGAAAGGAGCAAAACAAAGGCCTAACAACAGTTACAACAGTTTACATAATCATATCAATCAAATCTTACTATGCTCTGATGAAGTGCATCAAGTGGATACAGAATGTGATTCCATATGACCATGGGTCAACTAAGTCCATGTGTATACAAGCTGAGCAGAAATAATTCATTGTCATAAGACAAGCCACAGAACAACTAACCTCGAGTACATGTGCCGCAGATTCGTGATTTCACTACATGGAAACGTGGCTACTACGTCATTTCTCTTCGTCCAAGTGGTAACATTAACAGCCTCTTTTCGACCTTCATCCTCGCTTGAGATCGGCTCATCTAGAAACAAGAAAATACTTGTTCAATTGACAACCTAATGTTGTTAACAAACTTGAAGGTCTTTGCAACCAGATTCTAATTCCAAATTACTACCCACTGATTGATAAGCACAGCTTCTCAGTGCCCTAAAAATTACCTTCAGAAGCAAGATAAAAACAAACACAAGTCAATACGGCTAAAACAAAGAAGGATTTGACTTGACTAGCCGACTACAAGCTAGCCTTGCCCAAGGTTGAGCCAGGCTACATTGATGTTGCTGGCATTGGTTGAGACATTACCTTCGTCGTCTCCTATGCTGAATATGTCCAGATTCACGTTCCTATATCGCTTACCAGTCCGATCAGAAGCACTGACATGCCTAAAACAGTAAGGAATATTTTCAATATTGAATTCCTTACTCAAAAGGTCCAGTCAGTTAAAAATAACATAGATCAACATCAAAGTAAGTCAAGTCAATTCAAGATCGAGCCATGTTAAGCTGGTAACTGCAAGAGATACCGAGTCAGCTTTTGTGCCCCCGTTCAAATCAAATTAGTTTGCATTTATTTAAGTAAACATTCAGTCCAATTTGAACTTATTACCTTTCCCTCGGTAAAAGCTTTGTAGAATAAAGTTGAAAAAATCAAACCAATGGAAACCAAGTCAAATTGATTCATGTCAACTTGAGTCAGATCAATTAAAGTCAAGTCAAGTCAAGTCGTGCTGAAATGAGTGGAGTCAAGCCAAGTAAAGCCCAGATAAGGGTTGTCGAATTTCATGTTCAGATTAGTCAGGTCGAGTCGAGTCAAATAGAATCAAACCAAGTCAAGTCAAGTAAGGTCAAATCAAGTCATGTACAGACAAGTCAAGTACAGAGTCGTGCTGGGTTAAGTCGAGTCAAGTCAATCATCTAAACCATTATCTTAGTATATCAAATGCATGAATTTCTCCCTAAATATCTAGTTCAAACAATTCTGGGTCCACACTGAAGGCAGCAACGGACAACAAAGATAGCTAACTTTCCATCATTTGACGAGATGGATATTTACTTACAATGTCTTTATGATAAAAAGAATGTAGAATGGATATATACAAATGTTAGTAATAGAAAGATAACAAGAAATTAAAACAACAAGTGAAAAAGAATATTCCATTGCTCTCAAAACCTGTGGTGCTACTACGAGTTCAGCACATAAATGAAGGTGATGGCGTCAGTGGTGCATATAACATGTATAGTGTGAGTAGGTTACAATAGTCCCAAAAAAGCAAGGATACTTATTTATCATAAATTAATTCTATTCCTTTCATGTCTCTATATATCCGGTATTGGTCTGTAAATGAAGTTTTCATCGTACCTAGATTCTTAGCCATAACTTATTCAAGATTTACGTGTATTAGTGTGCGAAGTCAGTTAAGCCCATTTAACAGTTAAGTATTTGTGAGCATGAGCAATCCTCATTTGTTCCTTTTTAAAGCAGATATATGATATTTTTTGTCATATTCCTTTAACGTCATTACCCTTTAATGCTAGAAATGTATAACCGAGAAAACGTTCCCTGGCTAAAAATCGGCGATAGCCTTGCGATTACACTTGAAATCTTGATTCCACTTTTTGGGGGGGGGGTGTTGGGGACGATTCCGTTCTTCTTTGGTTCGCTGAAAAAGCGAAAAATGTTTGGCTCCGTTTTTAAATCGTGCTTTGTTTTCTCAAATGTGAACGGTCGCGAACGGAAGTATCTCTGTCCGACTTAAAATACTGTTGTTTTTGGCATGCGCATGCGTAGTGTGAGGGTTCCGTTCTTATTATTCGGTGTTTATTTGTTCCATTCTTTCCTCAATATCGAGCGAGGTTGAAAATGTTTCCTACCCTCAAAAACGTAAGCAGATAGTTCCCTCCTTGTTTTACTCGAGTGTAAATGGATCTTGTGATCATTGTATGCTGCCAGTGCTTTTTATTCTTTAGAGCCATGAGCTGTCAAGAGAGATCACAGCCCAACTTCTCCCAAAGTAAGTTTTTCCATCTCTTTCATATTTATTAAGAAGTTTTTAAAATTTTAAAGAATACGATGTACCGCTTCCTTGGCATGAATACTTTTTTACGAAACTATGCTCGAGATGAGCACTAAATTTTTAAATTTTTTGTTGCATTAAAATCATCAGCATCAATTCTCTTCTGCATTATAGAACACTCTAGTTGAAAGGCTATCCACAACTCTGAAATCGAGGGGAGCGAACATGAAGGAGAGGCTTGGTAAACTAATGAATCATCGGCGAGAGCACCAGAAAGGTAAATGCGTGAAAATGCCAACGCGTGCGTAGAT